ATTATACCCTTCTTGGAAATATCAGTTTCCTCATAGTTTAGTTTTAGTATTAAGTGAATGGAATGCAGTCTAGAGATTCATTAAAGTCACATACTGATGCACTACTTCCCTAGAATCTCAGGTGACGTCTCCTCAGGAAAGTGGGAGATGAGCATTGCACTTGTGTATACTCAGTAGGCTGTGAACTTCTGCCAATGAATTCGACATCATTTATTGGTATTACGTACTTCCGAAACCGATCATATAATCTTTGATACTGACTTGTGGTTCAATAAGATGAAATTAAAGTCAAGAGCTGAGAATATAGGAGATGTTGTGTGTTAGATAGTATAGTTTTAGACCATTTCTCGCATGAGTTTAGATTTGTTTCAACTAATCCATTAACGAGTTGACTAAATGGTACGCCACTTGCCCTAATGACAGCCTTAATACCTCGCACAATTTGACATAGTCGTTTTTGAGTAATTCAGGAAAGAATAAGGGGAAGCAGTAAAGACCAATGCAAGAGTTAACAAGTTGTAAAAAGAGAGTTTGAATGATTCCTGACTGTCTTCAATACATAACATGGTAAGCTAGACTGAAGGTTTTCTTAGAAATCGACAAGATATAGAATGACCAAGAAAGACCAGGGGATGGATTTACTCCAAGGTATTTTCTGTTAGACTTCGTTTCTGTTTTAGTGCCCTCTTTGATACAAACATCTTGTGAATGACACAGTTCTTGCAGCTCACGCTTATGAGTGAGGGGAAAGTTAACTGCCTGACATTTAGAGGGATTTAACGCAAGACCACGTACCTTAGACTACAGACAGGAACCAGTTAAGTTTGCTGCAGTCACATTGTAACATGACGGTAAGTGAGACGGTCAGATCACCAGCGTATTTGACGAAGTTGCTCTCATTAGAAAGAGAAAAGTCATGTAAGACGAGGGAGAATTAAGAAAAGGAGAGATAACCATACCCTGAGGAACACCAGCCTCACCAAGCGAGGCCGAAGATTTACCCTAATATACGGTATGCTGCATTCCATTTTCAGCCACGTCTCGTAAACCGTTAATGCCCAGCTCTTGCTACACTGGGACTCACGCTGTTCCTTGAAGTTTCTCAGAAACACTTAGTAATAACGGACGCAAAACCAAAACACCGATTGGCTACTCGAGAATTCTTTATTGTGACACCAACATACAGCCAACTTTAAAATTAAGCTTTAAACTAAGATTCACAACTAAGGTCTATGAACAAATATTACAATAATAAATCACAATATTACTTCTGACGGTTTTGGCCTGACTTCTTTGTGAACAGCGACCGATGAGACGATGACTGGTGTATTGATGCCTCCGCGAAAATTGGGGAAGTTGGTTTTGAGCAAACAACCATGAATTGATCGTTCAATCTTCAACTACATTGACAAATACTGTTCCCTGGTAAGTCCCTAAAGTGAGTAATAGATAATTCGGTTAATACTTTTATGATGAAAGTGAACTAAAATAAGGACTACAGTTGTAGAAATGAGCCTTGTATTATACCCTTCTTGGAAATATCAGTTTCCTCATAGTTTAGTTTTAGTATTAAGTGAATGGAATGCAGTCTAGAGATTCATTAAAGTCACATACTGATGCACTACTTCCCTAGAATCTCAGGTGACGTCTCCTCAGGAAAGTGGGAGATGAGCATTGCACTTGTGTATACTCAGTAGGCTGTGAACTTCTGCCAATGAATTCGACATCATTTATTGGTATTACGTACTTCCGAAACCGATCATATAATCTTTGATACTGACTTGTGGTTCAATAAGATGAAATTAAAGTCAAGAGCTGAGAATATAGGAGATGTTGTGTGTTAGATAGTATAGTTTTAGACCATTTCTCGCATGAGTTTAGATTTGTTTCAACTAATCCATTAACGAGTTGACTAAATGGTACGCCACTTGCCCTAATGACAGCCTTAATACCTCGCACAATTTGACATAGTCGTTTTTGAGTAATTCAGGAAAGAATAAGGGGAAGCAGTAAAGACCAATGCAAGAGTTAACAAGTTGTAAAAAGAGAGTTTGAATGATTCCTGACTGTCTTCAATACATAACATGGTAAGCTAGACTGAAGGTTTTCTTAGAAATCGACAAGATATAGAATGACCAAGAAAGACCAGGGGATGGATTTACTCCAAGGTATTTTCTGTTAGACTTCGTTTCTGTTTTAGTGCCCTCTTTGATACAAACATCTTGTGAATGACACAGTTCTTGCAGCTCACGCTTATGAGTGAGGGGAAAGTTAACTGCCTGACATTTAGAGGGATTTAACGCAAGACCACGTACCTTAGACTACAGACAGGAACCAGTTAAGTTTGCTGCAGTCACATTGTAACATGACGGTAAGTGAGACGGTCAGATCACCAGCGTATTTGACGAAGTTGCTCTCATTAGAAAGAGAAAAGTCATGTAAGACGAGGGAGAATTAAGAAAAGGAGAGATAACCATACCCTGAGAAACACCAGCCTCACCAAGCGAGGCCGAAGATTTACCCTAATATACGGTATGCTGCATTCCATTTTCAGCCACGTCTCGTAAACCGTTAATGCCCAGCTCTTGCTGCACTGGGACTCACGCTGTTCCTTGAAGTTTCTCAGAAACACTTAGTAATAACGGACGCAAAACCAAAACACCGATTGGCTACTCGAGAATTCTTTATTGTGACACCAACATACAGCCAACTTTAAAATTAAGCTTTAAACTAAGATTCACAACTAAGGTCTATGAACAAATATTACAATAATAAATCACAATATTACTTCTGACGGTTTTGGCCTGACTTCTTTGTGAACAGCGACCGATGAGACGATGACTGGTGTATTGATGCCTCCGCGAAAATTGGGGAAGTTGGTTTTGAGCAAACAACCATGAATTGATCGTTCAATCTTCAACTACACTGACACATGTTTTGCATCCACAAATGCTCCTTCTTCACATGATTGGCAGGTTCGAGGACGTTCGACGGTTGCTATTATGTGGGGCTTAAATTTTAACTTTACCGCGTTATGTTTTCGTATCCAAGTCGATCTCTGGGCCTAATGGTTTATCGATTTTGAGCGTCTTCGGAAAGAATAGGATCGTAGAATTAAGCGCCGTAACAAATATATTTCACGGTCTTTATCACTTAATTTTGTTCCACTCCGGACAGATGGCTTTCTACAAACCTAATGTTCCTCTTTAAGGTCCAACACAAAATACCATTCTCCAAAGGCAGTGATAAGCGATTCTGACCGGAACCTCTTTTCAGTCTGAGTGACCAAACAAGCACAGTGGCAATAAATCAGTTAAATCATCACCCTACCAAAACTTCTTCACAGTCGTGTGTTCTAAAATATGGCGTGGTTTACCCTAGAAGTTGGAGCCTACATCCTCGTTGTAAGCTTAAATAGCTCTGCATACGGACTGTTTGATCCTACTGATTAAATAAACAAACTATTTACTCTATGGCCAATCATGTATCAGAGGACATATATGTTTGAAGAAAGCACAGAACCCCACAAGTTACTCTGGATAAACGATAGGGAGTCTAGTTGCATACGTGTGTGAAAAGACTAAGAAAATATTAGTATATATGTTTACTAGAGAGCACTGTTCAACAAATACAAACATGTATACGTATACGTATACATTCAAATTCCACTTATGCCCACATACTTTTTCTGGTACTTTGCTGCTTGCTTCGTTTTTTCTATTTGTCTCGTATTGAAAGTTTCACAGACCTACAATAAGAACGAAGTTAAATAGGACTTGAAGTAGCTCACGTACCAATACCACATCATTCTTCAGGTTGTTGGCTCAAGAGTAGTCAGCACACTTGAAAAAACCATATGCAGAGAGGCTAATTAACATTCTGTACTAGCGGTTTTCACGATCTTGTTTTCAAGCAGTTTTCTACGTCTGAATGAGTATACGCGTACAGACTACCATGCAGCCACAAGTGGGCATAACGTCTGACTTGGAAGAACTATCATGTGTTCGATACAGAAAAATAATTCCACGTGGCTGTATCAGATATCCGTCTGAATGAAGTACAATTCGCTTCTAATGGTACTCCACAGTAACGCTGCTGGAATAATGCTACAAATATGCTACTCACTTTAAATCAACACGTCATTTGATTAAAAACCAAGAATTAGATATGATACCATGCACAACAAAGTTATTCAGGAGGACTGACTCCAAGCTTAATTTTTTCCTTAGGTATTTGTGACCCATCCACGATGTTTCCATATTTCTTAAAGTGCTACACTAGCTTACAAGTCAGCAGATTGTTCCAACTAAGGCAACCACGTAAATCAACAATAAACATAAATATAAATAATAAATATAAATCTCTAGGTAAGTTGTGCATGAATTCATCACCAATCCTCTTTACCGTGGCATACTCATTCACCGTTTTTCATAAATTGTAATCTAGCTAGATTCTTGCATCAAACATCTGTAGGAGGATCGTAGAATGAGGCAGACTTTATACTATCAGGAAGGACAGAATGGAGTGATCTACAAACATTAGTAGTTTGTGGGGTCGACGAAGGCCACTACATGAAGGTGCACCACCTCTTGCCATGACTCCAGTAATAAGTTCCAAACACTTACCTCCTCCGCCTCTTTTAAATAGTACCTCCTGATTCAAGATAGCAGTGAACAGGATTTGGGTTACAGAGTTTATGAAAGTGTGGCAACATCAAATGTTTTCAGAGGGAAGATGGGAGTCTAAGTGTATTCCATATTTTCGTCTGATGTTCTTCTAGAGTATGTTATTCATGTAATTCACTGTTGACATGGCCGTTGAACCGTCAGCCAACCAGTTCAGAACAGTGATGGATGACTTCGCAGTATCGAACGGTCTGCGCACATATATTGAGGAACCATTTAGCTGTGAGAGACTGCAACTGTGCCCATCTGTTTTTATTGATTTATTATTTTTGGTGTATCTCTTTACTAAACAGGGATTGAATATTGTATGCTGACCTACAGCTACCTCAAATACTAGCGCTACAAGCATGCCTAGCTGGTTTGCGAACAAAGTATGTCACTTAGAGATGGAGCTGTGCTAATTAAATTGTAGCTTTCTGAATGTTCCGGGCCAGTTCTTTCGACGGATGACTTATTAAAACTTCGAGGAGAAACTAGCTCGGCGTTTGAGCGGAACTATGGAATAAAACATTGGGAGAAGGGACTTCCCAAAGAATTAGGGTCACTTAATCGAATTACTAAGGAATGGTTGTTTATGGCACTTAAAATGAAGTCCGGACAGGATCACATATGTGCAATGGCATATTTGGTAAACTCATATCCACTTCATGCTATACGCTTTCTGGACAATTTGATATCATTGGTTTCTCCGTCGAAAAAACGTGACTGCTGTAAATCTCTAGGTAATTCTTCCTATACTTTTAAAAGCCGGTTAAGATATATTGAGCCACCTTTTTGGCAGTCTTATTCCAAAGCAGCGAGTGCTGATTCCTCTATCCGCTCGAATTCTGAACGTGTTAGATAAACCGTGTACATCAAGTTCCAAGGAAGAAATTCTTTGCTTATGGCATTTTGAGGATGAGCTCAAACGAAAATATTACCAATTCATCAAAGCATCAGAGGTTAGCTACGTATATTTTGTAAAGTTTTGCAGAAACTTTTATTAAGTGACTGCCCTGATCAATTCAAGCGCAAGACTCTAGGTAGTTCCCTTCTAATATTTCAAATTGTGTCCGCTAGGTGTATTGGGAGGCCTTGTTGAAAAACCGGAAAACCAAACAGTATGATATTGTACCCTTATTTTTTCAGTTGATATTAAGCATAATAGTAAATAAACTTGGTGATCGTAGCAAGGAATTTGCTTCTGCAGTGATACATAAGCTACGTTTAATCGGTGAGTTTTAGGCTTAAATTAAATATGTATTTTAGCTGGAGTATCTACATCTCTTATGCACTCAATTGTTCAGGAAGTCCGAGCTTTCTTATTCCGCCCTAACTTGTTGGAAAGGTCTAAATACTATGCTCTTTCTCTCTTGAGTTGCCTGGAGCTCAAAAGAACTTCAAAACATTCAAATGCTGGTGATGTAGATGTAGCTGGCTTGGCTTCAACTATGGTCAAGATTTACATGTCATTTTTTCACTCGATAGCTAATTCCAAAGAGATACCTGAGCGTCTCACTACAATACTGCTTAGTGGCTTGTGTCGAACCGCTCCTTTTATTACGGGTAAGTACTACTGTATCAATGCGTATGTTATTATGACCAATAAACACATGTTATGCCAAGTATATGTATTTTTGAGAGAGTTTTGATTTCCAACACCGATTGTGTGGTATAATTCAAGTCCTAAGAGATGCGAACGCACGGGTGCGTGAAAACACATTAAAAAGTTTACCTTTCTCTGACATGACTTGAAAATGTCCAATTTATAATGAGGAGTTTCGGTTGCTAAGTTAGACTAGTTCACCGAGGTGACTGAAGATGAGCTGTTTTGTGAGTCGTTCATCTCTCCTATCCTGTTGTGCGGTCTTCCTCAAAGCTCTCACTTGAATTACTATTGTTTCCAGTAAGACCATCGACGACTACTTATAAGGAAACTGTGGGTAAGGGAACATTAAAATGAATGACATTAACTCTAAACCTATCCCTATTCGTAACCCTAACCTTAATCCTAACCCTAATTACAACCCTTATCCTAACCGTAAACCTAACCCTAAGCCTTACACCAATACTTACCTTAACCCTAATTCTAACACTAGCGAGCTACTTACACATTGCCGAAACAGTACTTAAAAACGTGGTCTGAGTGAAATTTCCTGGTTAGCTGGTGAAAAGCGTTGATATTTCTGCGGTGATAGTGCCAGGTGCCATCAGCCAACGACTAGCACGCATTCAAGGTTATTGGAGCGTTCGCATTTATGGAACGCTGTTGTTGTTGAACTTCGCCGATTGTGTAATATGCTCGCGCTAATTCTCTGTAAAAATCCCAGTGGTTACAAATTGTCTAAGTTAGAAGTCTCACTTCCAGGTATCTAGGAAGTCTCGTATTCTGGGTATACACTTAAAATGTAGTGTAGTTTGGAGTCAAGTATATTAGTAACTGTGAGAGGAGGTATGTTTGACGGATGTGGCAAAGAATATCTTAGAAAGGCATGCAGGATAGATTAGTGCGTGTTCACCATTTTCGATGCATGGAGATCTATTCAGGTATTAGTTCCTGCTTTTTATACATATTCGGGTTCATGACAGTATGTTCTGTAAGATTTCAATATTCACAGCATTGAATGAAGAGTTATTCGTTATGGGGAATAAGGTTTTTTTAATGAAGGAAACATTTTGGTCACAATTGTTAAATCTCTAAATACTTGTGTTAGGCTTAATCAATTTTCACCATCATATTTATTCCCTTTTTTGGTTAGAGGATGCATATACAACCATAGGTGATGAAATCAATGATTTATTTCGACTTGTTCATACAACTGGTTTCACAGTGTCTGTACAAGCCTTATCTGTACTTTTTCAACTGTCTGTTCATCGTGTAGCTATACGTGATCGTTATTATCAGGTAAGTTCTTAGTGTGATATTTTTTTAAATTTTTGTTTTACACGAGGAGAATCTTTATAAACATTCCTTTTGATTAGTTATATTTATGTTACTCAAGCATTTGCATATCCATACAGTTGGCGATGAGCCATACTAGTTGTATGCGGCTGCCTAGCCCCCATATCTGTTTAATCTCATCATTGATGTACTAATGGATTTGACTCTAAATGACCACTTGGGCCACAAGAGCCACCTCTTGTGCAACGGATCATATTAATTTAATTTTAGATTTTCCCGTCGATTGATTGGACCGAAGTGCTTGGCTTCAGGTTGACATGTCGGCTTTTTGTACAGATGCTTCGACGATTTCTGGGCATTTAATTAGGATTTAATTTGTTCGAATGTTTACAGTGTGAATTAAAATACATTTTAACAATATTTATCACCCTCTGATTTGACTGTTAATAATATCTTTCACATCTCTGGTGTTTTCGTTGACTCACTTCTATTGGTTGTTTTAGGTGTCGACTAGATGGACCAGGACTAGCTGTCTTCGATTATAGGTGCCTGCGCTCTATTTCCCGTGTAAAGTGGCATAATAAGGTGAGCAACATTGAGGTTAGGCGTAGAGTTCTAGGTAAACAGGGGAAATCAATCGACGAAGTCGTGAAGCTACAAAGACTGAGATGGTTAGGACATGTGTTACGTATGCCAAGCCATCGCCTCCCTCGACGAACAATGTTAGCGGAAATAGGGTCCGGCTGGTAAAAAGCTAGCGGTGGTCAAACAAAAACTTGGCCGAACCAGTCAATGAAATCCACAACAGTTGGTCTAAGCCACGTAGGAAGGTGTAGACTTCCAGGCTGGCTGGGGTCCTCGGGACGGTAAAAATCTATGGTTGGAAACAATTGGTGACATGGCTCAAACTCATCGTTCTCAGTGGCCAGCGCAGATGCACCCACTCCTTGTGACTTATGATCTTCAATGAAACTGTTTTGTTCTTCGTTATTACTCTTCCTTTGTCTCACACCTCTGCTCACTGTTTCTATTATGCTTTTCTTGTACTTTCTTCTCTTGCTTCGCGTGCTACACGGAGTGTGGCGACTTGAACTTCCGCACATTTGTGCAAAGTTCTATGTCGAAAACAGACAGACTAGGATTCAGTAGTCAATCTCTGTATCTCCACCTACTTATATTCGTATTTTGACTCTCTCCGACCCTATTATATGGTTATGTGTTATTGCATGCAGTGCAATCGTTGAGCGTTTTTCTAGATTACTTATCTTTTCAGGGTCAACCATTATTACTTTAGCTAAATTCTTATGTTCTGACAATCTGACTACCCTTGACCTACTAGTTTGACCTATGTAATTGACCTCACAGTCATTGCAGGGTATTTTGTAAATTATAATACTTTATTTAATTGGATCCATCGGGTCCTCTAGCCTACAGAGCTCGTGTCTGAATGAGTTTGTAGGTTTAAATGCCACCCTTATTCCTAATTTTTTGAGAATCCTACGTAGGGTCTCAGATATGCTCTACCTATAAGGTAATGCTGTAGATGCCTTATACAGCATTCTAACAAGTTATTTTACTATAAACGTCTTATTTCCCATCTTATTGACTAATAACTCGTTTTATTTCCTATCCCATTATATTTTATTGATAACACGAGTGTTATTTCCGAATGTACTTTATCTTTCTTTCTGTTTCACACATGTCTTATATTGATTTTACCCCAATGTCTAGTCGACTTTTACTCACGTAGATAAACAAAGCAAGAAAATTGTATGAGTACTGTCTTGATATGATGATTACGAGTAGCAATCAATTGTGCTCGGAGCGTCATGAGTAAATATTACTAAATAACAACACTGATTTAATCAAAATAAAATTTTATCCATAATTGAATTATACTGTACCACAGTGTCCAAGTTTCTTTTTATACCAGGGAATATTCTTGTTCACTCTTAGAATTATGCGGATGGCATAGTTCTCTCTCCTAAGTGAAAACGCTGATCAAATGCAGTCTTCCGAACACCATGCTGTCAAATGTAAGAGTGGAGTGGACTACATCGATTCCTAGGTTGAAGATAGGCAGTGGGTTGGGTGATATGCAGACAAAATCTGAGCATGGATATAGAGGGCTCGTGTGGGATTTTCAAACCTGCGCCATCTCCCGACCGAAAGCTGCTACCTTGACGTGGTGGTCGGGCTTGAACACCGCAATGATCTATTCAAGCTATACTGGCTGAGACTTATGTCTCTTGAGGTCCTACCATGCCAGGCAGGTTGTTTGGATAGCGGTTAAACAAAAAGCAGCTACCCAATCCAACATCATGTCCAATACAAAATCACAAAATTTCATGCCGGATCGGCCGTGGCCCGGATTAACAACGACCGCGCTTCCTGCTGCCGTGTCACAGGGCAGGAGTGATAAATATGCTACTGAGGCACACCAAACAAAAAAGAACGAACAAAAACAGGCCGCGTGTGACCGGCCTCAAGCAGTTGTCCCCTGGGCTCTGCGGTCACGCAACCAACTTCCACGGTGTGGGCAGCCGGGAAGTAACAATCGCCCTCACAATCCGAAATGCACACGAAACCTCTCTATTACTCACTCATCTTTGTCTTCATCTTCATCTCTATCATCTTGCCTTCCTTCCACTGATGCAACTCCTCGACTTGATAGCTCTCCACTTCCTCTCCACTCTGCGTCCACTAAAAACGATGGAAGCCAAAAAACCACCACCGACAGCCTCTTAAAGCCGCGCCACCAATTTCATATAGGAGCTCTTAATGTTAGGACACTTTGCCAAATAGGACAACAAGCATCACTAGCCAAGACCCTGGCATCACGAGCCATTGATGTATGCTGTGTTTCAGAAACACGCATACAAGACCCAAGTGTGGTTATTCACCTAACCCCACCTGGCCAACAGGTTGAATCTGCAAAATTCACCTTGAGGGTGTCAGGAGATGCCACAGCTAGTTCACGAGGATTAGCTGGCGTAGGGATAGCTTTGAGTACTAGGGCAGAAAAGACATTGCTTGACTGGATCCCGGTAGATAGCCGAATGTGTGCTGTCCGCCTGAACGGATCAGTAAGAAGGAGAAAGGACTGCACTACTCGCCGATGCCTTTTCGTAATCTCCGCCTACGCCCCCACTGACTGCAGTTCAGATGAAACGAAGGATGAGTTCTACCAAAAGCTGTCTAGTTTGGTGCGAAAGGCTAAACGCTCAGACATAGTCGTTCTAGCTGGTGACTTTAACGCTCAAGTAGGGAAATTGTGTCAATCTGAGAAGGATGTCGGTGGCACCTATGGAGCTCCGTGCCAGCGAACCGACAACGGTGACCGTCTCCTACAGTTCTGCTCTGATAATCATTTGTTTCTTGTAAGCACTAACTTCAAACACAAGGAGAGACACTGTTTGACTTGGAGACCCCCTTCATCAAACCAACGCTGGACACAAATAGACCACATAGCAATAAGCTATCGTTGGCGTGGGTCGGTAGGAGATTGTCGCTCCTTCTGGAACACGTGCGTAGATACCGACCATGCACTGGTCCGCGCTCGGGTGTGCTTACGACTGAACGGACGTAGGAAACAGCTGGCGGTAAAACCATCACGTCCCCAGCTCGATCAGGAAACTAAATCCGTATTTGAGGAAGAACTAGCTAAACACATATCTGTGTTCGACAGCTGTGCTCACCCTGAAGAAGCTTGGAAAAATATCCAGGCAGCCATAGATACAGCTGTAAAAGCTGTGAATAAGGTAAACCCAAAGGTGAGTAAAAACCACTGGATCTCCACCGCCTCATCCGAACTGATAGATGCTAGAAGACTTATTCCGGCGAGCTCCGAATTCAATGAGGAGCGAAAGCTGCACAAGAGGAAACTTACGAAAAGTCTCCGCAAGGACCGTGAACAGTGGTGGGCGACAAAAGCCAAAGAGATGGAGAAAGCTTCGAGGATAGGCAACACCAGGCAACTCTTTAGACTCATCAGGGAAACGGGTGGGAGAAGACAAATCATTAGTGAGACAATCTCGGAAAAAAATGGCACTATAATTAGCTCCCAGGATAGACGACTGGATCGTTGGAAAGAGCATTATGAGGAGCAGTTTAATTTGCCCACAGCCACGCTCAACCTTCCGAGCATCCAACACCTCCCTGAATGGGATATAGACACAGGTCCTCCGTCCCTAACTGAGGTTACTAAAGCTGTCACCAATCTGAAACTAGGCAAAGCAGCGGGACCTGATGGAATGACTCCAGAGGTATTTAAGTACGGTGGAGACAGCTTACTGTCCGGATTAACTGAGGTACTAGGCAGCGTCTGGGAATCAGAAGAAGTCCCATCGGGTTGGTGTAAGTCACTGATTATCCCCATATACAAGAAGGGAGACAAGTCTTCCTGTGATAATCACAGAGGGATTAGCTTGACTAATATAGTATCTAAAGTCTTAGGCTCAATAATCATGCGTAGACTGAGTGGTGCTCGGGAAGCACAAACACGAGAGAGCCAGGCAGGCTTTAGACCAGGAAGAGGGTGTATTGATCATATCTTCACCCTCCGACAGATTCTAGAACATAGGCATTCCTACCGGCGTCCAACAGTCATTATATTTCTTGACCTAAAGGCAGCATTCGACTCTGTCGATCGGGAAGTTCTCTGGAGATGCTTGGCTGTAAAGGGAATTCCGAGAAAATATATTGCACTGATTAAGGCACTCTACTCGTACTCATACAGCCAGGTGAGGGCTTACGGCGAGCTGTCATCTGAACTGATGACGACCAGTGGTGTCCGTCAAGGATGCCCATTATCCCCTTTTCTATTCAACTTCATCATAGATGTGTTAATGGACTTAACCCTAGGTGACTTCAGCGACTCAGGGATTGACTTGCTACCGGGAATAATCTCGTTGACTTGGAATATGCAGACGATATAGTCCTTCTAGGCGAAGACGCTGACGAAATGCAGAGTCTTCTAAACACCTTGAGCCGCAATCTACGAATGTTTGGCATGCGATTCGCTCCCGCCAAATGCAAGATGATGTTACAGGACTGGACTACATCGACGCCTAGTTTAAAAATAGGAAGTGAAGTGGTAGAGCACGTTGACCGCTTCACTTATTTGGGAAGTACCATCAGCCCCAACGGGTTGATCTCTGACGAAATCTCAGCACGAATACAAGGGGCTCGTTTCGCATTTGCCAGTTTACGCCGACTCTGGCGTAGACGAGATGTTCGACTATCGACCAAAGGGCGGGTGTACTGCTCATCAGTCCGCTCCGTCCTCCTTTATGGTTGTGAGACCTGGCCACTGAGAGTGGAAGACATGAAAAGACTAGCTGTCTTTGATCATAGGTGCCTGCGCTCTATTTCCCGTGTAAAGTGGCATAATAAGGTGAGCAACATGGAGGTTAGGCGTCGAGTTCTAGGTAAACAGGGGAAATCAATCGACGAAGTCGTGAAGCTACAAAGACTGAGATGGTTAGGACATGTGTTACGTATGCCAAGCCATCGCCTCCCCCGACGGGCATTAGCTGATATAGGTGCAGGTTGGAAAAGAGCCAGTGGTGGCCAAACAAAAACATGGCATCAATCCATGAAATTCTTGACAGTTAAACTGAGTCAGGTATTGAGATGCAGACTTCCGGGTTGGGGCCCTCGGGACTCTAGGAATTAATGGCTAGAGACAATAGGTGACATGGCTCAAAATCGTTGTCAATGGCCAGCGCAGATGTATTCAGTCTCTGTAATCTTTCATATTCCTTTCTACCATTACCCATTCTGTTTCACTCTTATACTTGTCAGAATGTATTGATTCTCTTCACTCATCTTCCTGTCTACCTCTGTGTGCTATTTGAAACGTGGCAACTCGAAGTGCTGCACTTCGGTGCCAAGTTCTATGTTGAATGCAGACAGACAGAGACAAAGGTTGTTTGCACTGCTCAGAAGTTCTCTCCATCCTCCTTTAATGGCTGTGAGTGAGACATTGCCATAGCAAGTAAAAGACGTGAAAAGCATAGCTAGTTGTCCTTGATCATTGGTGTTTTCGTCCCATCTCCCACGTTAAGTGGTATAATGCGGTGGGTAATACTGAGGTTAGGCTTCGATCGAGTGTTAGGCAAGGAAGGGAATTCATTCGATGAGGTTGTGAAGCTGCTTCAGTTGAAGTGGTCACGACATGCGTTACGTACTCTTAGCTATCGTCTTCCTCGACAGGCAGACAGTGTTTGCTGAAATAGGATTAGGTTGGAAAAGAGCTAGTGAGGGTCAAACCAAAGCTTGAAATTCGTTCGAGCCAGACACGTAGGGTGGTGTACACTGCTTGGCTGCTTAAGGTCCTTGGGATTCTAGGAGTCACTGGTTTGAGGCTATTGGTGACATGTGAGTCGAAATCACTGACATTTGCAATCCACAGTTTAATTGAATATTATTTGATAAAATTTAATAACTCATGGAAAAGTCCCATCGTAACATATAGAAAATCAAAACAGGTGATTCAGCGAGGAGACTCTTTTCAACGAATTTATCGACAAGCTGTACAATCGTATATATATATATATATATATATGTTTTTTAAGAAGTTATATCCGGTGAGGGAATAGAATCATAGGTGTGAATGCATAAATTAATTTGCTTTGTCACTTGACATTTAACTATGAGTATAATCACAAACATTTTAGTTTTAATTGCATTTCATACTATTACTATTATTTTATGCATTCACACCTATGATTCAATTCCCTCACCGGATATTTATTATTATTATTGTATCCTTTAGTTCCTAGAGGAACATAGGGCTTCAGCTGCGCACCTCCATTGCTTTCGGTTTTCTGACAACTTTTCACCCTGCTGCAGGTCTGTCCACATGCTTTCATCTCCTCCTCGCATGACCTCCTCCAAGTCACCCTTGGACGACCAACTCGCCGCCTCCCTTTCGGGTTCCACTCGAGGGCTTGTCTAGTGATGTCACTTGATGGTTTCCTCAGAGTATGGCCAATCCATCTCCATTTCTTCCTGCCTATATGTTTCACAATCGGTTCCTGATTGGTTCGCTCCCAGAGATCCCTATTGCTGATCTTTTCTGGCCATCTGATCTTGAGTATTGAGCGAAGACAGCTGTTAATGAAGGTCTGAAGTTTGTTTGAGATGCTCTTTATGACTCGCCAAGTCACCGGATATAACTTCTTAAAAACCATACATATACGGTTGTACAGCTTGTCGATAAATTCGTTGAAAAGAGTCTCTTCGCTGAATCACTTGTTTTGATTTTCAAAAATTTAGTAAATTGTATTGATCTGTCACTGGAGAGAAATCAGTGTCATACTTTCTAGATCTTAGCAAGCTAACGCTTTCAGTCAAGTTTATAATAAAGGCGTGGTACCCCGATGCATTTTGCCTTGGTTTTGGGTGATTAAGAACAGTTAACATGCTACTGTAAGGCCTGATGTTTCTATTCTTGTTCTGCAATCCAATGCTTCAGTCAAAGTTTTACACCACTAAATAATTATGAGTTGAATTCGATTTGGAATAAAACAAAAAAGTCGAATGACGACCCTGTGTTACTGATCAGTTAATTGTTAAGTAGGTCATATTACTCCATACATCTGATTACCTTCTTATTGAATATATAATTACCTAGTTAGTGTGCACTGATTGTTCGTTTACATTATCAGACGAACAGTTTGACCAATTTAAGAAGTTGCACAAAAGTGAATTAGTTCAGGTTGCTTCAATTCAGGCAGCACACTAAAAAAGAAGACCTCATAAGTGAAACGATAATAAAAGTGTGAATGTATTGATCATTTGATTGCATGGAGGATTTCATCATTAGCTGACATCAGTTAGAGAACCACTGGAAAACCTGGGAGTACTGGACAGCTGTTTCCTCCGCCCTAGTTTGGGACTCTTCAGCAGTACACATCCACCACTGGGGTTAGAACCCAGGACCTTCCGCCTACAAGGCGAACGCGTAAACCATTGAGCCACTGGGACTTGATCCAGTGGTCCTTGAATTCTAACTTCTGCCAATTCACGACATAGGGCGACCATTTCGCAATGTCTTCTTCGATGAGTTACTGCCTCATCTTCAACCTGCTGTACCCTACTGGTCACGGCTTCCCACTAGAACTCCAGGTTAACTGACTGAATAGGCCCGGTCGCTAGTGAGCATCAGATTAATTTTCAAGTATTTGTTGTACTGGTTGGTTTTCAAGTATTGGTACTGATGAAGAGTCCCAAACTAGGACAAAACAGCTGTCCAGTAATTTCAGGTTTTCCAGTGGTTCTCTAACTGATATCAGCTCATGATGAAATTCTCCATGCAATCAAACAAAATCCCTACAAAACTAATATTTGCTCATTTGTCAGTGAATTCGAGTCATGTCACCACTCTCATCCCAAGGAGCCTAAGTGAACGACACATCTTTCCATGTGACTGAGGTGAACAGCAAATCGTTCCATTAGTTGATCTCTTATTTCGTTTAACCAACTTTAACTGTTTGCTTATTTCAAGTGGCATGGTTATTCTGAATACAGGTTAGACTAGACGTACTCAGCAAATATTCCGGTCACTTTAATTGATAATGATAATTGATAGTGCGACAGTCAGCAGTCAGATTTCTGAATTCTGCATAGTTAACCTTGTGTATCCCATGGAAAAGGTCGTTTCTAGTATGTACTAACTAGTCAGTCGAAAAGAATTATTGTATGCTGACTATATGTTCACCTTTCTATCTACTCAATCGACTGGCTTACATTGCCAAGTCATATGCCAAGTCATCGCCTCCCTCGACGAGCAATGTTAGCGGATATAGGGTCAGGCTGGAAAAAAGCTAGCGGCGGTCAAACAAAAACTTGGCCGAACCAGTCAATGAAATGCACAACAGCTGGTCTAAGCCACGTAGGAAGGTGTAGACTTCCTGACTGGTTGGGGTCCTCGGCACGGTAAAATCCAATGGTTGGAAACAATTGGTGACATGGCTCAAAATCGTTCTCAGTGGCCAGCGCAGATGCATCCACTCCTTGTGACTTATGATCTCCAATGAAACTGTTTTGTTCTTCGTTATTACTCCTTTGTGTCACACCTCTGCTCACTGTTTCTATTATGCTTTTCTTGTACTTTCTTCTCTTGCTTCGCGTGCTACACGGAGTGGAGCGACTTGAACTTCCGCACATTTGTGCAAATTTCTATGTCGAAAACAGACAGACAGACTGGCTTACATTTATGCTTTCTTCTTAATTGTGCCTAGGCATTATATCGAAAACTCTTAGATCCTGCTGTCCATCAAAGTTCAAGGAATCCAACTCTTCTGCGTCTAATCTATCAAAGTATGGTAGCTGATAATGATATGGATAGAATTGCAGCATTTGTTCATCGAATCCTTCAGTTGTGTATCACGCACACAGATCCTGGTTTTGTTATAGGCTCTTTAATTCTGCTTAGCAAAGTAAGCGCGTATTTTTAGTATTCATTTGTAAATTTTAAATATTTTTTTTAACAAATTATTTTTATTGTTGTTAATATTTTTTAAAGTTTTATTCCTTTACGTTACCAGTAAAGAGTAAGACAGGACTGTCTATTATCCCTAATGATATTCTTAATTGTGGTGGACTGACTGGATTATGCATCACACTTTGTGGAGCAAGGAGACAGCAGTACGCTGGATCACTGATAAGAAGACTGTAGAAGATCTGCATTTCGCGGATGATATATGTCTAATGTCACACAAACTCGAAGACTCACAGGCGAAAACCGACAAACTGGCTGAAGAAGCCAGTAGTGAAAACAGGACTGCAGGTGAACACAGAGAAGACGGAAGTGATGAAAATAACCAATCGACAGCAACCAAACGACAATAACCAGCACCAATCACCATCAACGGGAGAGATTTAACAGGGGTGACTTCCTCCACTTATCTGGGAAGCATCGTTTCAACTACAGGTGGAGCGGATGAAGATGTCAAAGCCTGTCAGTATTGGAAAGACAAGATACGCCTTCATCAACCTGGAACCAGTTTGGAAATCTTCCGCACTCAGCCGGTGTGAAGAACAAGATTCGGATTTATTACACCAATGTCAAGTCGGTTCTTCTGTACGAGCCAGAAACTTGCACTGCGTGTCACGAAAAGGATTTCCAACGGGTTGCAGACTTTTATGAACAGCTGCCTTTGCTGGCTCACTACTGAAGATCAAGTGACCAGAAAGAATAAGTAACAAGAAACTGGGAACAAACCAACCAAGAGCCGATCACTCACCAAAGATGCTGGAGAAAATGGAGTTGGATCGGGGCATACATCGAGGAGACAACCGAATGATATCGCGCGCCAGGCCCTCGAGTGCAATCCAAATAGGAAGCGACGAGTGGGTTGTCGGTGCTAGGCTGACATGAAGGAGATCGTGTGAGAAGGAGATGAAAGGTTGTAGGCAATCGTGGTCCAAGCTGAAGAGGACGGCAGAAGATAGGACAGAGTGGAGACCTTTTGTCAAAGCCTTATATTCCACCCGGAACTCAAGGGAATAATAATAATAAGTTCCCAATGGAACATAGGGCTTCACTCTAGAGCTTTAAAGTTTCAGTAGCAGCGGTATTTATTTTACGGAATGTAGGGTTGCTAGCCTCACGCCCAACCTTCCCTCTTTACCAGTTGTATTACTGGCTTAGCAAGGTAAAGGAATGCGTCTGTGACGGAGGATCAAACATTGTTGTTAATACCTACAGCGGTTACTTGTGTTGCTCCAACTAGAAAATGAAACTACTGTCATATGGTTGGCATAAATAAATGTGAAGTGATTTCAATTTTTAGGCCTCTTCTTTGCTAACCAACCAATACCCGTTAGGGAGACCATTAAAAACCAGGAAGGTAGCACTAGACAGCTATATTTCGCCCTATTTTGAGACTCTTCAGTATTACGTACCCATGACTCCATCTGTGATGATCGAACTCCGGGACCTAAACGTTACGCGACCGAGTTCGTTGACCATTTATCCACTTTGGCGGGATCCCAGTGATCCGTGTATTTAAACTTTCAGAACACGATTTAAGCGATCAAATACGTATTTGCATTAAATTCTCATCAGGCTTACTACAATTGTGTAATAACTAAATATCAGTCATAAACATCTGAAACAATGTGGATCAGTCGGATCAAATATAATCGAGGAGAATGTGAGTGGAATAATGATAAATTGTGAAACTATGGTATTGGTAATGAAGTTAGCGGTTATTTATTTATTTAAACGCATAAAAACTTGGTACAGTATGGCATCAAGAAGGATGCGCCACACAATAATAATATAACAGCATAGATCAAAGGAAAAAGAAGAAGGAAAAGAAAAAAATATAAGTAGAGAACGGATAAAGAACTTCGTCTGGAAGGAAGACAGTCATGCTTAACAAGTTCAAACATTATTAGTTAACTATCATCGGGAAGGGAAGAAAGAAGGAAATTGCAATGAGTTTGTTGATTTATTTCATTCATTGTGTGAGGGCTGAGATGCTGCCCGGGCGCCCAGACCGAAGCAGGTTGTTTTATTAAGGGACCACTCTCCGAAGCTTTTGACATGGAGTCTAATCCGCAAGGCAGCGGAGCAGCATCAGGAGCCGCATTCCCATGGTTTCTGGTGACCCATATGGGTTCATACCCCATTCGATCCGATTGGATACTGGAGCCCATGTACCCCTTGGTAACTGCTTTTAGTTTAACCGCTATCCAGAAAACCTTCCTGACATGGTAAGACCTGCAGGGACAGAGCCCCAGTCAGTTTAGCTTGTTGGGTCATTGCGGTATTCAAGCCCGACCACCACGGCAAGGTAGGAGTTATCGACCGGGGAAGTTAGCGGGACAAATAAAAATAATATTTACAGTTATCCGGTGTCACCGGGAGCGATAACCATTCTAGGTTGCGGTTGAAGGCATCTTAGAAGGGAGAGGGACTTAGCAAACTTTTTTCTGAGCACAAAAAGTGGGTTGAAAATTTTTTTATGGCGACTGCCTCAGCTATGCTTAGCAATTGAAGGTACATACAAACTAAGGGTATTGAGGTGTCATATAGTATGGAGATCTGTAAAGGCGGAATTCTTTTACCAGTCTTGTGATTCGTGTATGCTATTGTTGAACTCCTGACAGACTTTACGGCTCATGTTGAACGGTGTTTAAATCGTGTTCTGAAATTATCTTCGTGGGGATATTTAAATTCTAAATTTTTTCTCCACTTCGTGGTATAACGTCAGTCTGAACAGTGCCTTGACATATGTTGAACCCCAGTAAGCACTTTTCTCTCACTCTGCAGCTTCAGGACATCTGTCCACCCTTCCAGTAGCTATCAGTGCTTTGTTGGTTAATATTCAAATGATGAAGTTGGTTGGTTTATTTATCAGCATTCCTAATAAAGAGTCAGTGGTCATATCTGTAGAATAAGCTTAGTAACTACGTTTACACTTTGTTACACGAAGGTTATTCATTCTAACTGATCGATGAATTAATACAATAAAGAAACTATTTTTGATGGTGGTTCAGTGGTAGAATCCTCGCCCACCACTCACTTAATCGGGGGTTCGATTCCCAGCCGATGCACTCCTAAACCTCACGTAGTAGCTGTGGGGTAAGCCCCGGTGATAATCGGAGGTTTGGTGTGAAACTAACAACCCTAACCTGTAAAAGAATACATCACTGTTATTGAAACTTAAAAGCTCAACTTTGAAGTGTTCCTATGCTCAGCACGTACTGTGATGGAATGGGAAAGATTGGTTTGAAGGTGTTTCAAAAACTCCGATGTAAGAATAAACACTGGAGAACTTTTAAGGTGTCATTTATCATTTAAACCGAATGATGAATGACAGTGGATGTCAAAATGTAGGTTATTTAAGGAAGGAGTTGATGAAATGAGAAGGCTAAGAACCTGTTACTCAACGAATATGTGGAAGAATATGGAGATGGATAGGACACATGCCGAAGCGACGGTTGTTGAATATGATCACTGGTTTGTCCCTCGATTGGAATCTGAGTAGCAAACGACGAGAGAGACATGAATCGAGGTTGAGATGGTGGAGATAAGAGCTCATGATAAGCCATGAGGCCTGCGTAAGAGGACAGCACAAAATAGGACAAATTGGAGGATGTTCCAATCGAAACTCATCTCACAGTTCAAATGTGTGCGCATTTCCTTTCATAAGCTGATTTTTTTGTGTATTTCTTTTCTAAACATCCGTATAATTTATGGTATCATGTAAAATTTTAACTTGTTTGTTTCCCGCCTTTACATCAAATGATGCAATTGAATGGATGAGATGGTGATAAGAGAACACGAGAGTGGGGGGGATGGGTGGGATGGGATGGGACGAGGTGAGATTTCCTCTATGGCTGAAACCCTTAGCATGCTTGAATATATAACCATCATCGCAATCATCATAAATGGTTGTTTTCATCTCAAGCCAAGTCAACTCAACTCAGTTCTATGATGCGTATCTTTTATGCATTCTATCATGCATAAAAAGTCAACAGAGATTTATGCCTCTTTTTTTCTCTCTCTTTCACGTTCGCTTTAAGTTGGAAAAACACAGGAGATAAACAGATAAATAAATAAGTAAACAGATAGATTCCTCCCTTAACTTATAAATATATAATAATAAAAATACTTTGTATATAGTCATAAAAAGAGGAAAGAATAAAAATATATATGTACACTTAGCTGAAAATTTTGATGACGTTTCCCGATATTGTTAAATTTGTTTTGAGTGTTTCTTCAGCTGAAATATACTCATTCACTGTATGTTTCAGTGTTTACACCCCTCCCCACACACACCCATTGTCCAAACAATGCTTAAAAACGAGTTCAGTACACAATTTGCACCTGACTTTCGTGCACAATATACATACTGGCTATGTAATTATGTCAGGCTTCTGTAATTCAACGAATGATATCCGTTCAAAGTCATTACAATGTTCGCACTCTGTGGAAGTCACTGCTCTTTAAGTTGGCCACGAAAAGATTCATTCTCTCTCCCTCCCTCTCGCATATTTTTAACTAATTTGTAGATGAATAGCACTAAAATAATAAAATGAAAGACATTCATCTTCTTTAACATAGCATGTCATTCAAAGTATGTATGACTTTTGTTTGACTGCTGGTCATACTCTTCAGTTTTTGTAATGGAATTAAAAGCTTTGAAAGTAGACAGAATATGTAAGCATAGTTCATTCACTCTTTTAAACAAAACGCGCGTTGAATGACCTGTATATCTCATTACACCTGAGCAAGTAAACTGATAGATACACATGGAATTGGTCAAATATGATAACTTGTCTTTAGAGCTGTTGAAGAACAATCGGCGGCATGAGAATACCGGTCATAGTTTAGCAGCAGAGGAATTTATTTTAAGGGCATTAGATGTTCTCTTCTCTAGGATTTCATCCAGAAGGTCGCATTTGAACGCCGCATTCGCCTATAGCATCTGCTTCGTCACATAGATGGGGTGTTCTTTATTGGTTTTGGGCTTTACATGTTTCTCTTTAAAGCTTGAGGGATAGCCATTCTCAAGTAGTGTCTTCCTGAAAACAATGATCTCTCCTTCTACTACGGATTCAGGACTGCAGATTCTTCGGGTTCTAGTCGCAAGAGACTAATGGGCACCTGACTATAAAAGTTTGTCAACTGACCGTTCCACACAGGCTTTCCATATACTGATGTGTTAAAAGTCTCATTGTTCATTCACACTGATTGTCAGTGATCTAATCTTTTGGAACACTAGGGAATAATTAGTGTTATGTCTTGTTAGTCTGTCGTACGGACTTTCAGAAGTCGTCACGAAGCTAGATAATTCACTGTCTCCCCAATACATTTCCAATTGATTTTAACTAGTTGATGAACAGTTGCCTGGAAGTGCTAGTTTAAATCTCTTAGGGAGTATTAGTTCCTTAGTTGTTATCGATACATCTTGTTAACAAGTACCACCAATGAATACATACTGAAATGTTGAACATTTCCCTCTTCGTTCATCTAATCGACTGTAACGTCTACACAAGAGGCTGTTTTTGAGGTCTTTATGGGGAGTGATTAGGCAGTGTAGACTGGTTTGACCTTAACATTGTCTGATATCAGTAGAACTCGACTAGATCTTGGTGACAAACAATGTGCTCTGTAGTTAGGGTTCTAAAATTCTATTTGAATGAACTTAAGTGAAGTAGTCCTAGGGTGTATTCCTTCTTTTACAGGATTCATATATTAAATGTTCGTGTCATCTATGCTACTTATAAGTAGTGCACTTGGTGTGTTTTGTTATGCCTATCTTTTATTTTGATTATTTTTCTTTTGTGTTTAGGTGTCTGCATCAAAACCACATCTCTTAGTCGTTTCTCAGATGAGTGGGGAACAGTTAGTAAGTATCGTTTGCAGTGTAATTTACCGATATTATTACTATTAATACTCTGTATTTTTTCCACCATTTTTAAACTTTCCTCCAGATTGTTTATTTATTTATTTATTAAGAAAGAAACTTGGTACTTCATAGCACCAAGAGAGAGACCACACAAAAGGCATATAGTTTGTGTCAGTGCTGAGATACTCACTGTCCGGACGCCTACACTGAAGCCTGTCGTTAAGGTCTACATCCAAGCCTTCTACATGAAGTCTAATGCATAAATTAGTGGATCGGCGCCAGCAGCTGACTGGTTGGTTTCAAAATGGAACTTTGCAAAGAAGTAAACTAGTCAAGTAACCTACACATCCCTACATCGGTGGCTCAAACCAACTGTCAAAGATATCATGGACTGGTTCCAAGTCCCGGTTTGAGCACCACCAGCCCTTTTCCAACCTGATCGTGTATCAGGCGATGGTTAGGAATGAGTAACTCATGTTGTAACCATCTTGAACGGAGCAGCTTCACAACCTCATTGATTGACTTGCCCTCCCTAGCCTAACTAAATCAATATTACGCACCATATTATATCACTTAACATGGGTGATAGAACCATCAGGTGCTTTGTCGTCATGGTTGACAATGACCGGGACGGGTTCGTACGAAGAATACCTCCACCACATAAAGGCAGTCAATAAGATATACTTGGCAGAACCTATGAACGTGTGGCGACAATAGCGCATTTCGAGAGGAAGGCAGAAGTCTACCGGTAGTCAGCTGTACCGTGGTGTTTATGTGAGTAACTTCCTCCCAGAACTGGTCAGCTGATATTGATAAAATCATTTTGATAATTTTCTCTTCATATCCGTATATTTCTCATTACGACTGCTTAATACTTGCCAAATATTTATTCCTAATTCAATTTTAATTTTCCCTTTAATTGACTGGATGAAATTGGTCTGTCTCTGTGGTCATGTCGGCTCCTTGTGTGGATGCTTCGACGATATCTGAGGATTAACTTGAAGTAAATTGGCGGTGGGTGGTGATTAGCAGTGGAAACCAAAATGCACATTTCATCCGTTGCACCAGAGGTAGGTGGCTGTCGTGGTCCAGGTGGTCCAGGGAATATGACCTTGGTATTTGAGATGATGATTGTTAGGTTTGAACCTCAATGAGAACATTATGATGCAGTCACTCACTCACTGGGGAACGCAGGTTCATCCAGATGACGAGTTCCAAATAGGACGAAGTGTGGCATATCTTGGATTCCACTGCTGTTAGTCACAATCCATCAAATCACTCGTTAAATATGCTGGAATTCTCGTGTAAGATTTTGCGATTTTACTTTGCTGTTTTTCCGTCATTATTTTTGTCTGACTAGGTCATGATAACCAGTGTTCTTTATTGGTGAAGCTTTTTATCTATCTTCTTAGTTCTTGATTTATTCCACTTTGTTCATCTTTATTTAGCCAGTCGATCAGATGTCGACATTAGCGAAATTTGAACAATCCGATGACAGTGATGAACACTTCAGTGACGCCCAATGTACTGAAGATGAAGGTGAGACTACACAGAATGGCGAAGTGAATAAAGACAGTGTGTCATCAGAAAAGTCGACAGTTTCTAAAAAGGATACATCATCATCATCATCTTGGTATCATCGGTCGCTAAGAAAAGATCGTGCGTCCAACAACTTGTTCGGTAGTGGTTATAATCCAACAGCTCGTGAACCAAAATTTTCAAAAGCTGCCGGTTGTTTACTCTGGCCGCTTACTCTTTTATCAAAACATATTCATCCTACTATCAGTCTGTTTGCTAATTCCCTGTTGAATAATTCACCGATAAAATATACTGGAGATCCGTTTACAGATTTCGCCATGATGCATTTCCTGGATAGATTTGCTTATAAAAAGCCAAAGGTGAAACAATTGAATCAACAGAAATCAGAGTCTGGAGGTGTTCAAAGTAAGTTGTGTACGCTTGAATAGATGAGATGTGTGGATTCACCGCCCGCCCCCCCTCTCCACAAGCTCCCCTTTGTTGCATTTACTGGAGAAAAGATTGACTGTAATCGTAATAGTGAAAACCGACTTGTTGTGTGGTCTGAACACTGGAAACCGATCTTTGTATTCTACTGTAAAGCTGTCCAAAACTTTCTTAAGACACTGACAGTCACAAAATCCCACGAAGATAACAAAAAATGTGGTGCCGGTAGACAGCTATACAGATAAGATAACTTTCTGAGTACAAAACAGGTACTACAGAAAACAAAACTGGGTGCCCAAGTATAAAACTTGGGTACTTTGGTAGAGTATAACTCCATTATGGATAAGATTTTATTTTGATAAATCACACAGTGTTATACAGTAATATTTACTGATGACGACGTTTCGAGCACATTTTATTACTGCTCATAATCATATCAAGGCAACACTCACACTTTTTACTTCATTTATATACATGAGTGGAATTGACGATTAGACATTTGAATAAAAGTCAATGTAGGATAATGTGCACTCAGAAATAATAATAATAATAATAATAATAATAATAATAATATGAGTGTTACCAATCAAATACAATCAGATGGGAAATAAGACGAGTGTTTTTATAGTCATTATAAGTAACTTGTTAGAATGTTATGATGTACGTGAATTGAATTGAAATAGAATTTTAAGATTATTTATTATCCTCCGCTGATTTGATTGACTGGTGGTCATAATATCTTCCATTTATATCTGTGGTATTTGCATTGAGTCATTTCTATTGCATGTGTTGGGTGTAGATTCGATGAACCAGGATTCAGTAATCAACCGCTTTCTTCACCTACCTAGATTACTTTTTAGAATTTTAAGCCTCTCCCACCTTATCGTGTGGTTGTGTGTTAATGCATGCAGTGCAATCGTTGAGCTTATCTTACTTATCTTCTCGGAGTCAACCATTCTAACCTTAACTAAATCCTTATGTTCCGATAATCTAACTACCCCCGACCTACTAGTTTGACCTATGTAGTTGACCCAACTCACAGTCATTGCAAGGTATTTTGCAAATTATATCATTTTGTCTAATTGGATCAACCGACATGGTCCTTTAACCTACAGAGGACCTAACCTTCCTACAACTGTAGGAAGTATCTGTGGTCTGCGCAGAATAAGGTGGTACCATCGTTTATTTTTATTCGGCTTTTCATCATCAGCTGCGTACAACTGTTGCGTAGAACAATTTCAACGTACTTGGAAGGATGACATCACGTTAGCTAACAGGGGATTCCAGACAATTAGTAAACACTGCTCATTTAGTACACTTACATAACTTATCCACAGAAGCTTCACGTTTAAATAAAATAAATGCTTGTATGCAGTGGCAGATGATAAGTAACGGATAAATCGTGTGACAATATAGAACGAGTTCAACTCAAAAGGAGTGTAAGGACACCGAGTCTTCAGGGTGAGGGGAAGACTGATATAACTACTTCTTTCTGAACACGTTGATAGCGTTTTCAGCGTTTGATAGCAATCGTCGCTTCGGGAGACTTGCGGTGAATTGAACTATGTTCATTGATAATTTTGAAAGATTTCAGCGTTTACCCTTATGACCTATGTAAGATCAATTCTATTCCCATCCTTGAATCAAGTCAACCTGTCCCGGATCAGCCTAGAGTTGTTGCAACCCAATTATCCATGCCTAACGTGTCTATCCCCTCTTGTTTAATGAACTGTGTATATGTGTTTTTACCTCGATCCGTTTAGTCAGACAGTTGAACTCATGGCCCAATCAGAGTATTTTGTGAACTGTTATTTTTGTTGACCCATGTCTAACTTTGTACTATTCTGTCGAGTTTATCTTATTTATTGATTTTCATCTGTATTTTCCTACCTGGTTAAGTAGCCAATTAAATTCTATCTTTGTGCCTATGCTCGGTCTATCTCTCTTAAACGCTCTCTGTTTTATGCCATGCCTTACTTGGGTTCATTCTTGTACTGACTGCTTACCTGAACGGTCGTGTCTGGTTCCGGCTAGTTCGCAATTTCGGCTTTAACGTTATTCCGCTCTGATAGCGGTACCTTGCTTTCTGTTAAGCGTTGTGCTTTGTACTCTTGAAACCGTTAAGGTTTGTTGTATATATAATTATTGATTTGTTTATTAATAGTACCGTAGAAACAGTGACCGGCTTCTTGTTTGTTCTGGACCGGGATAGCCTTTATCTACGCGTGACTTAATTTCAAGCGATATTGCGCTTACAACCTATATCAAAGAGATGCCTGGCAATAGAACTATTGAAAGCGTTTTTTCTCTGGGTATTTTGGTACACAGCTGATGAAAAGTAGACGAAATAAACGATGGTTACGTCTTACTCCAAACAATCCGTTGTTTTTGCTGTCTTCGACGAAATCGTGAAGCTACAAAGACTGAGATGGTTAGGACATGTGTTACGTATGCCAAGCCATCGCCTCCCTCGACGAGCTATGTTAGCGGATATAGGGTCAGGCTGGAAAAAAGCTAGCGGCGGTCAAACAAAAACTTGGCCGAACCAGTCAATGAAATCCACAACAGTTGGTCTAAGCCACGTAGGAAGGTGTAGACTTCCTGACTGGTTGGGGTCCTCGGGACGGTAAAAATCTATGGTTGGAAACAATTGGTGACATGGCTCAAAACCGTTCTCAGTGGTGCAGATGCATCCACTCCTTGTGACTTATTATCTCCAATGAAACTTTTGTTCTTCGTTATTACTCCTTTATCTCACACCTCTGCTCACTGTTTCTATTATGCTTTTCTTGTACTTTCTTCTGTTGCTTCGCGTGCTACACGGAATGTGGCGACTTGGACTTCCGCACATTTGTGCAAAGTTCTATGTCGAAAACAGACAGACAGACTTCATAAATTTGTAGTTAACTTATATTGCATATGTCTAGCGCCAAGTAGTTCTAGGATGATATTCTTTGATGATATTAGATAGTTGGAGGCGATCGGCCACAGGAAGCTTTGGACCTAGGTTTCGTGCTAGTTGGCACCCACCAGTCAGTCAGCAAGGTGTATCTGCAACCTTGAAGGAACTCATGTCCCTTCTGAGAATTAAACTCGTGTCATCCAGTGCTGCACTCAGAGACGTTACCACTGAGCAATTCGAGCTCGCTGTTGACCCCCTGTAGTAGGTATTTTGATTGGACACTAGTAACTAGTGTGATGTGTCCTGTCCTTTCCTTGGTGCAGACGGAATCTCAGAAGGGACATGAGTTCCTTCAAGGTTGCAGATACCCCTTGCTGATGAGTGCCAACTAGCACGAAACCTAGGTCCAAGGCTTCCTAAGGCCGATTGCCTTCAACTATCTAATATCATGAAATCAATGCGCACCGTGATGGCGACCTACCTAGAATGGTGGCCACATTGCAAAACCTGACTGACAGAATTCAGTCTGCACTTAAGAAAGGACTAGACACGTCACACTAGTTACTTGTTTCAGTTGAATCCTTTAAATGGCTTATGATAACAGAAGGTATCTTACTGTTTTGAAATACCTTGAAGTATAAATTGAAATTGTTTGAAAGGAAAATGTATAGTCATTCAGCTGAAAAAGTCTACGTTTGAATAAACCTTTCTTCAAAATTGTCTAAATCATTGATGATTTCCCATGTCTTCTTCGTCTTCTTTCTGATTCTTTATGTTATTCATAGAAATTGTACCTGGAAAGTTCTTACAGCGTAAAAAAGCCCCATTGTCTGGTCCACGTTCTATATCTGTGGATAGTACTGCATTTCGACATATGCCAGTGACTAGTGTTCCTGTTCACGAACGATTTTTCCATAAGTAAGTATTTTTTTCAAGTTTTTTTAATAAATCAAGGTGTCCTAAACAATTTCAACTTGGTAATAAAAACGGCTGTCACTAAAGGCTACACTCTTCTATTTATATTTAATCTATTAATCTGACGCTTTTTATGCCTTTACACTATCTTAAGACCTTATTTACCTTCAACTTTCTGCTACTAAAGTATGTCTAATGTAGAATAACTTCATGTGGGCTAATTAGTAGTTGGATGTAGAAGTAAATTATGGGTCTGTCTGTCTTTTTTCGACATTGAATTTTGCGCCGATGCGCAGCAGTTCGAGTCGCCACACTCCCTCCTTGTAGCACACAAAGCAAAAGAAAGTAAAAAGAAATGCATAATAGAGACAGTAAGCCCATATATGAGACAAAAGGAATAGTAATAACGAATGTAACAACAGAAGACAAGGGCCAGACAACAGATTGTTTTATTACGAAAATCAACACGTATATATATATATATATTTTATGTACATTAATAAGGCGTATGGAAGCAGAAAAAGGTGGTCTTCTGATTGGTTGTTTCCCGGAAGTTAAGCAGACAAACACAGCCCTCTGATTGGTTGTTTTCGATATTTCTCGGAAAGTAGAGCCATTTATCTGCGAATCATATTTGCCCACGTTTAAGTCTTCTGTGATTGGTTGTTGAGTCAGCCTAGATTAATGTCTACCAATTGGCTAGCAGCCTGCTCTCACCACACGAAGAACAATATAGATTAAGTGGATGTTATGAGTTACAACGAGTGGATGTATATGCGCCAGCCATGTCTCCATTTGTCACTGGCTTTTACCGTCCCGAGGACCCAAACCGGAAAGTCTACACCTTCCTACGTGGCTTAGATCAACTCTTGTGGATTTCATTGACTGGTGCCATGTTTTGGTTTGACCGCCGCTAGCTCTTTTTCAGCCTGACCCTATATCAGCTAACATTTCCTGTCGAGGGAAGCGATGGCTAGACATGCATTTATAACACATGTCCTAACCATCCCAGTCGATGTAGCTTTACAACCTCGTCGATTGATTTCCCCTCCATACCTGAGGGACTGAGGATTGTTGTGTAGAAAACGTCATAGATGAATGTCTCGACCTTATCCTCAAGATCCACTCATATATATATATATATATATATATATATATATATATATATATATTCCCTTTTGATATTGTTGTGTTCTCTGAACTGGATAGTTTATCTGCGAAGCTTTCACTGCCTTACCAGGCAACATCTTCAGCGCATACTTCAATATATATTCCTTTCATATAGTCTTCGTGAGAGTTGTGTGCAGCCGTTGTAAGTATATCGAAATTGATATTGCCTGCCCGGACTAACAACGACCGCGCTTCCTGCTGCCGTGTCACAGGGCAGAAGTAATAAATATGCTACTGAGACACACCAAACAGACCGCGTGTGACCGGCCTCAAGCAGTTATCCCCTGGGCTCTGCGGCCACTCAACCAACTTCCACGGTGTGGGCAGCCGGGAAGTAACAATCTCCCTCACAATCCGAAATGCAATACGATATAGCCGCATGTTTAGTGACTATGACGATTATTGTTCACTTAGCATTAACCTTTAATGTGGTCAGCAGTATCTACATTTATAGTGATCTTTATGCATAAAGTTAAAGCCTTACTTTAGGTAGCTCCTTTAGGTGGACATGAATGACCGTCAGTCGGGTTGTAAGCTCCAGATGTTTGCGTTCACCCCTTTGCTTTTATGAGGAACATGCATTCCATTGGAGGGCAGGGAATTAGATTTACATGGTAAGAGGGACTATGGTGACATGATATTTCAAGGGGGAAAAGCGGAGTTTACCCACCCTCTGTCGTACCAGATCGTTTACGGGTGTGGTGAAAGTTGCCTTCTAGCCAGAATTGGTAGACAGCAATTTGCGTCAATGTTTACTTCCCAAATGTTGGTCATGAGCGTGGACGGATACGATTCGCACATATATATATATATATATATATATATATATATATATATATATCGGAAAGGAAACGGTCACAAAGAGATGACAGAATAACTTTCATCGAGGAAACAACCAATCAGAAGACACTGTTTCTCTGCTCGTGATAACGAATGATAATTTACATAAAAATCTGTAAATATCGGCTGATTTTCTCAATAAACGATCTGTTGCCTGGCTCTTGTCTCCTGTTGTTACATGGGGACAAGTTCAGATTACCTTTCTAAGAGAAATTGCGAATGAAAAAGTACTAGTTAGTGTTTAACGAATTCCCACTTGTCTTGTACTCTGTGTTCACACTAGGCTCACTATAGTTGAGGTGATAAATGAACCACAACTTCCTTCTTCTTCTTTCTTCTCATGCCTCTGTGGACACGATGACGCACAGTATTAGGAGACTGTTGAGTGATTCTACGCGCCAGGTCATCGCTGGAGTGGAACCCGAATGGGAAACGATGAGATTGACACGAAGACGATTGTGATAGGAGGAGTGGAGAGCTTGTAGGCCATCGCGGGTCGAGCTAAAGAGGACTACAGATATGCTGTCAATGTGAAGCCCTATATTCTCCAATCATAACTCCAAGGGATTATCAGTTTATTATTATTTGATTTGTTAGTAGTTCACAAGATGAAAAAAGAATCTTAGTAACCATGCTGTCTGTCTGTCTGTTTTCGACATAGAACTTTGCACAAATGTGCGGAAGTTCAAGTCGCCACACTCCGTGTAGCGCGCGAAGCAAGAGAAGAAAGTACAAGAAAAGCATAATAGAGACAGTGAGCAGAGGTGTGAGACAATAAAGAAAAAGAGTAATAAAGAAAAACAAAACAGTTTCATTGGAGATCATAAGTCACAAGGAGTGGATGCATCTGCGCTAGCCACTGAGAACGATTTTGAGCCATGTCACCAATTGTTTCCAACCATAGATTTTTACCGTCTCGAGGACCCCAGCCAGTCAGGAAGTCTACACCTTCCTACGTGGCTTAGACCAACTGTTGTGGATTTCATTGACTGGTTCGGCCAAGTTTTTGTTTGACCGCCGCTAGCTTTTTTCCAGCCTGACCCTATATTCGCAAACATTGCTCGTCGAGGGAAGCGATGGCTTGGCATACGTAACACATATCCTAACCATCTCAGTCTTTGTAGCTTCACAACTTCGTCGATGTAACCATGCATTGAGCAGTTATTCATTTCTTTCCTACTATTTTAATTGTTCCCTGTTTTTCCTTCTGTCCAGTTATTTCAAATTTATGGAAACACGACCAGGTTATCAGACAAAGAAAACTGATAAACAACTCCGTGAGGAGGAGGATGCAGACGAAAGTGATGCTGACTCAGTGCCTGACTCTGAATTCGATGATTATCTGTGTAAGTGGCCTGTGCTTTGTACTTTGTTATGTGATGTGTTGTTGTCAGGTTAAAACTCTTTTACAGCCTTTCTGTATATCCTCTTAGCATTCAGGTTGTGGATGTTCTAGTGGCTCGATGGATGATGATATTCGAGTATAGTTTGTTCACATATTTGACTAATTCACTTGCTCAGAAAGCCGTATAATACCACGACATTTTTTTTTGAAGTTTTTACTACTGATTGTATCATTCAGGATGATAGAATTTTTGTTCATTGGTCTAGTCGTTGCGGGTTTTAACTGACAACAACTCAGGAGTCTCAATCAATTGGTTCCATACATACAGTAATGTGGGCAATCAGCTTTGGTAGTAGTTGTTGTTGTCGTTGGCTGTTACCAATTCTCTGTGGCTCATCACCATCGCTTTATGTTCATAAAAGCCTATATGAACTAACTGTCCAACTGGTTAGTTAGTAAAATGTCTGTTAATTCAGTTGACTTACACAAGTACCCCCTTGTTTGTATTCCATCTTTCATGTTAAATGGTATAATATGGTGAGTGTTATTCAGTTTGGGCGTGGAGTGTGGACTTGGACATGTGTTGCACATACCCAGTCATGTTGAGCCGTCTTTTTAGAAGAATTCACTGCTGGTTGATTTCAGCACGTACTAAGTCAATGGGTCACAAGGTACTTGCCTTCCTATTTTCCGGGTAGGAAACAATATACTGTTTTAAAAGGAGGAGCACTTCATTTCTCTGTTTACGGAAGCTGATGTGTCTCAAGGTGATGTGCTTCACTCATTTTTGCACGGCCTACCGTATCTTCCTAAAAGTAATTTTACGAGAAAATATGCCGATGATCTGACAATCTTTGTCGCAGTAGCTTTTGCATTGGATTGTTCTAATATATATATGAATAGATTCTTATCTGAGGTGTTAACCAATGGTCTCACTCAAACGGTCTTAAATTAAATCTGTCTAAATGTTCTACTGCTTAATTGGTAGATAGTGACTAGCAGTGGAATCCAGGATGCGCATTTCATCCTATTTGGGACTCGTCATCTTAATGTGCCTGCATTCCCCAGTGAGTGATAATTTTCCCACTGACACTCGAACCCAGTGCCCATAGTTTCAAACGCCGAAGCGTTATCCACTAGACCACGTGGGCCACAAGAGCCACCTCTTGTGCAACTGGGTTCGAGCCCCGGTGGGGACATCATCACTCACTGGGGAATGCAGGTACATCCACTGGCTGAAGAGTCCGAAAATAGGAAAAAATGCGCGTTTTGCTGGATTCTACTGCTAGTCACCATCTACCAATTATCTCTTAATTACATGCCCAGACATAGTCGAAGCATCTGCAGAAGATGCCGACATGTCAACCTGAGACCTAGCACTTCGGTCTAATCAATCGACGGGGAAATCTAAAATTCAGTTAAATAATTCTACTGTTTGTTTATTTTAGTTTCAGACACAAACGCAAGACTTGGATGGACTGTGTCAATCGCATGATTTTTGTAATATCGATAGCACTATTTCACGGAGTAAATCGAATTTCTCCTACCTGGACAACAGTTTCTCTTCGAATCTCTGTTGGTCGTCTCATATCCTGTTGATGTCTAAGATAGTCTTTCTTTTGATCTATTACATTAAGCAGTTAAGACTTTCTGTTGGCATAACTCAACCTCTTCTGTTGCAGTTTATTAATCCACATATTCTGCCGATTCTTCTTCGTTGTTCTACCTTATTCTTCCCTAGACTACCCAATAAAGACTTTGTCATATTACGTGGAACATCGAAGACTGTCTGTAAAGTTGATAATGGGCTACCTTTGACTCAACTAACTGAAATTGTTGTGTTGACAGGCATTTCAATTCTTGCAAGCAGTTAGCTTAAGTTATCCTGTCTGATACTGGACATCCTCTCCACTTATTCGCAACTGTCCCCTTGTGTCTCTTCTTCGGTGAGATCAGAAGAAGTTTCATGAGAATGTTTATTCTCGTACGTCGTCAAAATATAAAATTTCACATATACCATATTTAGCACGGGTTTTGTGTCGGTAGACAAATGTCAAAAGCCTATTGAAATCAGTAAATAAACAACAAATTATGACAAGAATTATTATTACATGTTTTTCTTATTCATTATGTTCCACGGAGTTTCAGGTCTCGTGGCTTTCTAATTTTCCAATCTGTATAATTATCATTGTTAGGACTAGAATGATTGCAGTATAGTAATGTAACAACAGAAGACAAGAGCCAGGCAACAGACTGTTTATTTAGGAAATCAACAGATATTTATAGATTTTCATGTACATTATTATAGATTATTTTAAGCGAACAAACACAGTCTTCTGATTGGTGGTTTCTCGCTGAAGGTTATTCTGTCATCTGTTTGTGGCCGTTTCTTTGAAAGTCAGACCATATATCTGCGAATCGTATTCGCCCACGCTAAGTCTGGTGTGATTGGTTGTTGACTCAGTCTTTGTTCTTATTTTTCTCATGACCAATATTGGGGACGTACAGATTGACGTAAATTACTGTCTACCACTTTTGGCTAGCAGCCAACTCTCACCACAGTACTAGTATTATTATTACTGCTTCTTGACGAGCAATGTTACTTAATATAGAATTAAGTTAGAAAAGAGTTAGGGATGGTCAAACTGAAATCTGGAATGAATCCATGAGGTCTGTCACTGCTAGTTTGACTTACTTTTCAATTCATGAATAATCCTCATCCAGACAATAATATAAAACAAAACACATACTTCAACGAAGAGGCTGTTTTACCGGCGAATTCATTTTCCCCCTTAGCAGTATAATTGCATATATCAGTTCATCTGTTGCTGTGGAGGCAGCCAAGTGCATTGATCGGGTGGGGAGGCGTATCCTGTCTAGAAGTGGGATTCAAGAACACTATCACGCACATCTGAGGAAGGTAGTAGTAGTGTGATGAGAGCTGGCTGCTAGCCAAAATGGTAGACAGTAATTTACGTCAATGTTTACTTCCCCAATATTGGTCGTGAGAAAAATAAGAACAAAGACTGATTCAACAACCAATCACAGCAGACTCTACGTAGGCAGATACAATCGCAGATAGATAATCTGAACTTCAATAAATGGCCACAAAGAGATGCAAGGTCAACTGTCTGTGAGAAACAACCAATCAGAAGAGTGTGTTTGTATGCTTGAATAATCTATAATATGTACATGAAAATCTATAAATATCTGTTGATTTCCTGAATAAATGATCTGTTGCCTGGCCCTTATCTTCTGCTGTTATGTTACAGTAGTAGTAGTGGTTCTATAAGGAGTACGACAATCGGGCACCTCGTCAACACTGGTCATTCCATCTCAACAAACGCCTCCTTCAAAGTAATCTACAAAGTGAAGAATAACCTGCCAAAGACAATACACTTTTGTCTTCGTTGAACCGCTGAAGCTGCAGCCATTTAGATAGGGAAACCGGACCTTGGCTTACTGAAGAGAATTATTCAACCACCTGTACTATCATGGTAACAAACTGTTTGATTACTACTGACTAGATTTCTGTTTGTTTGCTTGTTTCTTTTTCTAACCCCTTAGAACTCTTACCTTGTCCCGTATTATCCTTCGTTTCTATGTGTATCCTGATCACATCTCACTCATGAAGTCATCCGCCTTATTATATAACTCTGATACACATTAAACTTCTTTTATGCATTCACCAATATAATTGACTGTGTTTATGATAGTGTGATGGTGGCACAGCAGTAGAATGCTCAGCGACCACGCCACACGTGGTTAAGGGCTCGATCCCCTGGTCGACTCACTCCATTACCTTGCTACACTAGTAATAAGACTGGGAAAGAGGGAAGGTTGTGCTTGGCATGAGGCTAGCACCACATCTACCGAAACTTAAAGCTCTAGCTTGAAGCAGCCCTATGTCCGCCTGGGAATGTAAAGGAATTTCTAAAAAAAAATGTTTGTGACAACTCATCACTTTTGTCACTCCCCTCTCCCAAAAAACAAAGAATTGTACATAAATGCGATTATTGTACAGCTAAAGGAAAAAATGAATTCGTCGAAAAAAGCCACTTCGCTGAACTACGTGTTTTGTTTTCATTGAAATAATAATTGTCTCGACTTCTGGGTAATAATAACTTGTGTTCATTTCACGTCTACCAAGATTCGACTCATAAATTTGTGTTTTTATTTATACAAGTTCGTATTCTACCTTTAGCGGCTTATCTTTGCATTTTTGTTCCTTTCTTTTTACATGCGTTTTACAGCAAAACACGAGAAAAGTCTATTCCCAGCAAATGATGAGTGGGAGAATGATGGTATGTCAACTGTTTGTTTAAATTGTCTTTTTTATACGCTTCTATATATATTGAATGTTTAACTCTGCAAGATTGTGTTTTTCCACTCGCTATATACAATTCTTTTGACATTCAGAATCTTATTGTTTTGTGAGAAGGGAGAAGCAATCCTCTAGACATCATTAGTTTGATACTGGTTATCTTCAGACTGTTCCTGCAGATTGGAGTGAAACCCGCCCCGGCCCCCACCCCTCAAAAAAAACAGAATGATGAAGCAACTGTTTTATATCAGTTACAGGGTTTCATCATGTGTTGACATTGCGTTAGAGAACCATTTGAAAACCTGCAGAGGGTACTGGACAGCCAACCAACTGTCCCCTTCTTGTTTGGAACTCTTCAGCAGTACGGACCCACCTTCCGGTTATAAGGCATTCTCATAGACCGTTAGGCACTGGTACCCGAATAAAATTTCTGCCAGTTGACGAATTCACCTTGTCACAAACAGGTCCTGGGTTCGAACCCCAGTGGGTGCGTACTGCTTTATTGTCCCAAACTAGAACGAAACGACTGTCCAGCAGTACTCCCAGGTTTCTCTAACCGTTTTCAGCCTGAAGTCCTAAAATCAATCAAATCAAATCCCTGCTAACCAGCTTGTCTTGTAACAGGAAATCCGTGGGTTCGAGCTCTCTGTTGTCGGTGTGTACTACCGATGATTCCCAAACAAGGATGAAACAGCTGTCCCCAGTACTCTTTGCTCTTTAATCTTTTCATTAGTTCTCTAAATAATATCCATCCGTGGTCGAACTTGTAAAAACAAATATAATCCTCACAAAACAACTCTTAAAAATTAATTTATATATGTCCAAACCAAGTTCACTTTTAACGGTTTAAAAATTAACTCTAATATTGCCTAACTTGACAAATAAATATTATAAATATATATAAACCAATCACGATGATTTGTCAATAGAAGCATGGAATTGTGCATACTACTTCTGTAATTAGTCAGAATAAATCATGAATATCAACTAAATGTGACAAAACGGAGTTACGAGTGGTTTTTGTCTGTCTTTCACTAAACCACCATGATTGGAGGTGTTCAGTAACACGTTAGCTAAGCTGTCATCGCAGAAGCAGTTTAATTGATGAATGCACATAGATGTGACAAAGCTACCTAGCTATCAATCCTTTGGCGGTGAGAGAATAACAAACATAGGTTTGCTGAGTAAAACGGTCTACTTATACTCCTTGGAAGTCTCTAGAATAAAATCTGGCTTGGTTCCAAGTAGAACATTGGGCTGCTACAAGTTTGAGCTTTGAAGATTCGATAGCTGTGGTATTAATTTTTACGGAATAGGGATGCCAGGCTTATTACCAGTGTAGCGAGGTAAAGCAGGAATGTGTCGGCCGGGAATTGAACCCCAAACCACGTGTAGCGCGGTTGGCTAGTATTCTACCGTTGTGCCATCGATGCACAACTCTTGACAAGTCACCATGATATCGTAACTTCATAAATAGAGGGTTTTTTCCGTGCTATCATGTTCTGAGGTTTTCTCTCCAATGTTTTCATATGTTTCTCTATTAAACTACTTGGATAACCCATCTCCGTACACATCTTTCTTACTCTGCTCACTATAATGCATTGTTTGCCTTTGCTTCAATTTTCTTTTACAGAGGAACCAGACCTGAGTGAAGAAGACTTTACTGATGATGATGATGATGCAGAGGATGACGGCGAAACGAAAGAAGAATATGACTTTTCAGGTAGCCTGATACACTATTTTCATTTTTCTATTGGCTATTATCCATATTATTAAAGACTTGTTCTGTGTGCCTTAATGTAGGTGTGTAGAACCTGGTTACTATACTAGCATGTAATCACATATTAAATAATTTTATTTGATATAACGTACAGTAAGTGATGGAGTATTAACGACTGGGTGACATTTCAAGCACAATTTATTGCTCATATTCATATAAATTTAGAAACACGGTTTCACATTTTGTCTTATATATATATATATATATATATATATATATATATATATATATATATATATCAGTATACATATTTGTGGACAGTTAGGGAACACAAAACTCTTAGAAGGTTAAATCCTGCTCCACCTAGGTTATGGTGGAGATATTTGGATTAGACATTCACTACTATGTTGAAATCTGAACATATCCCTCATTTCCCCACACATATAAACTCAATAATAAGCGGAGTCGAAGTCATTTCTGAGTTCGAAAACGAACAGGATGAGGTGGCTAATAATAATAATAATTTGCTTTATTCCAAAAACAGTACTTGTGATACAGAATGGAGTTCTCAGCATTTTACTACAGTATTGCATCCAGTTAGTGCATTATCAATAAATCAAATTCTACATAGATTATGGGTAATCTCAGTTAAATTTGACAACATATTAGCATGTCGGTGGCAAAGCCAAAAATTGAACAGAGTGTTTGAAGGTGTTAGAAAAGTAGATGCTAGCATATTTACTGGTGTAAGTGGTAACAAAAGGTCGAGATATACAGAGTGTGAAAAAACGAAGAAGAATATTTTAAGTAGAGTTTGTAAGGAAGAAAGAAACAAAGCACCACATTACAAAAAAAGAGAGGAAAGAAAAAGAAAGGAGGAAAACGTTGTACCTATAAATGATATGAGTTGGAGAGACGAGATCCAGTTGTTCTACTGACTATTTATTCATCACACAGAACATGAGTTAAGTAGGGTACGGTTGAGATTTTGTACTTGCTAGTGCGAGCATATAGGCTTCTGGTCTGATGAGATACAAGGGAAGAGTTGCGAATGAAGAGGGTGGTGTGAGTTCGATAAAATGAATTTAGCGCATTTTTCATATGAGTTCAAGTGCCTGTCAACCAGAATATTAACAAGCTGGTTAAGTGGCATGTTGCTTACCCTTCTGACGGCCTTTAACATCCTGCGTAATAAGATATAGTCTTTCTTCAGTAGCCCAGGAAAAACTAAGGGAGAATAATAGAGAATAATGGGCAGAACGCGAGAGTTAACGAGCTGTAGGAGTAAGGGTTGGGTTATACTAGAATGTCTTAACTTCTTGATGTAGATGGTAAGACGGAATATTTTCTTAGAAATCATCAAGGTATGAGACGACCAGGAAAGATCAGCAGATGGAATGATGCCAAGGTATTTAATTTCCGACCTGTTTTCTATTTCACTGCCATCTATGTTGCACACCTCGTGAGTGCCAACCAGTTTGTTTAGGTCAGATATTTATGCCTAAAGGTGAAATTGACTGTTTGGCATTTAGGGGGATTTAAGGTTAGACCGTTTTCCTTGAACCACTGGCTGATTTCTGATAAAAAGTCATTTAGTTTGGAGCAGTCACTTTGACATATGACAGGCAAAGAGACCGTCAGGTCGTCAGCATGTTTGACAAAATTAACGTCATTTGAAGATGGCAAGTCATGTAGAAAGAAAGAAAAGAGAAGTGAGAAGAGTACAGCACCTTGGGGGACACTAGCTTCAGTGAGCTATGCTAGACTGTAGAATAAAACGAAAACAAGATGATGGGAAGTTAGATACTGATACACTCTAAGAAATACTTGGACTTAAGTTCATCCCATCCGGAATCGGTAAGTTAAGTGTCTATATAATCGGGCTAGGAGTGTAGCTAGTAAGGCAGAGGATTTCAGTAATTAAATCAAACAAATAGAGGAAGTATTACTAGTAGATAACTACCCACCACAATGTATTCAGATGTGTATGAAAAACCACAAAAAAACTAAGATTAGCAATAAAAATGATGAAAGTGACATATATAACAGCTATACTGTCTCTTCTCTCTTGAGAGAGGTAGAGTTAGAAAAAGTTGATTCTTAAAATTGTACACTCCGACTTAAACTACGGTGATTCGTAGCTAGCAGTAAATGACTAATCTGGAAATAACTCTAAAAAGCATTTCGAAAAAGTCGTGTATGACCGACTGGCCTCAAGCAGTTGTCCTTTAGAGGCTTTGCCATCACGCAACAGTAATTCCGTTTTAGGTACTTTAAGAAGAAATCAACTTCTACAGGATGGGGAGCCGGGAAGTAACGACGACACACACATGATCTGAAAAGCACTCTGAGTTTTGTTTATATTTTAGAGTGTGCGTTGGTTTTATAGCGGTTAGGACGCTCGCCGACCATGCACGTGGTCCCCGGCCGGCGCACTTCTAATACCAATGGTTGACCTATTAAACATGAGCTACCGATATCACATGCTGAAAGTTCCATACTTGTATTAAAAATACTGTACCAAGCCACAATAAAAATAAATTTTCAAAGGAATGGATACTGAACAATGATTACTCTTTTCGATAACTTCATCATCCGGCTCTACAGTTACATATACATTATAGTGAATGAATGAGAATTAGTGTTATGAACAACATTAATGTTGTTTAAATGACATCGAATCAATAATCGGGATATATTACAGCTCAACAGCATCAATTCAACAATAAACTGAATCTCAGAAAGAACATTAGGAAAGACAATATTACAAATTCATGAATTTATAGTCTCTACTGAAGGCTGGCCAGAGCAGTAGTAGTGGCTGGCTGAACTTGCTTCTTTTGCACACAAAACACTGGTTATTTAAGGCGAATCGCAATAGCCCTCTGCTGTTTGGAGCATGCAGTGCTTCGATGATTTTAGCAATTTACTAGGCACCCGGTAGATTATTGATAAGGATTCTTCCATGCTGGCTTTGTGGCCGGCCGGTTTGCACCAGATGGGCCAATATCGAACTGTTAATGATTTTCACTACACCTTTACTTAGCCATACTGGGAGATATTCTCGAGCGAGCACGAAAAATCAAGTTCCTAGAGCAACGGCTGATATAACTCGCTCCATCACAATCGCAGTTGAATTGATAGATACAATTTAAAGTGGATAGTCTAGGTACTTCATCTTTAAGTCGAGAAATCACCATCCATCTTGTAGAGAATAAGACGTGTAGTTCGCCAGGATTCAAAGTTCTTTGAACTAATTTCCTTATTTCTTCGTAATTATTTAGCTTGGTATGTGGCCATTGAATTGCAGTCGTATATAAAGAGGCTTCTTGTTTACAGATAGTGAATAGTCCTTTCCCGCTTTCTTTATCATGTGTTTCTTGATAAATTTATCGGAATAGCCATTCTCAGTCAAGGTATCATATACAATGCTTAATTCATCTTCAGTTACTTCTTCTGAGCATATAGCTCTAACTCTGTGTGACTAAGGGTCTCCACTAAATTAAAAAAAAAACTAAAAATAAAATTAATTACACAATTATTATTTTTGTTTCTTTCTACACATCATAAGAAATGGATAATCTAGATGCTTCAGCAATTTCGAAAATAAACAAAGCAAAGAAATCTGTTGATTCAAAAGGTTCCAGTCGTAAAGTCAGTGCTGTCGACGACGATGATGATGATGATGGTGCTGAAGACGATAACGAGGATTTTGAAGAAGAAGAAGAAAACGACGACGAAGATGGAGAAGATGAAGACGAGGACTTTGGTGAGGACAGCTCAGACGACGATGAAGATGACGTTGATATGGATGATATTCCTGACAAACCTGGGTGAGGAAATCATACCAAAATTTCGTTTATTTTAAATCTTCTACTTCGTTGTACAGAATCATACCAGTGGACTGACTGCTTGTGTGATCACTAAGTGGCACACTAGCTAGCGTCCGTCGTCAAGCTATGGCTTATTGGTCAGGTGTTAAACTTCTGATCGCCACGTCATAGGTATGAATCTCGCCTAAATTGCCGACCTTCGGTCAACGAGGTAGTAATCACTAGTCCACACACACAATATAAAGAGTGGGGGGGGGGCAATATATGAAATGCAGTTATTTACATGAAATAAAACTACTTCCTACATAGTCTGTTTGGTGACAGACTTTTTGGAAATTTCATGAAGTATTTCATGCTGGTTTACATTAATCTGCAAAGTGAGTCTTCACTTACGCAAACGATCACTTATGTATTTAAGATTAAATTTCTCAGCACAATAGAAAGCTGGGATTGTCATGTTAGCATCACTAAGTAAATTTCCTTTTAGATTTCGACTAACCGCAAAAGCCTCAATCAGACAAGCCTAACTATTGGGTAACACGACAGTAAAAAGCGTTGGGGAATGTTATTGAATGTTATCTGTAACTGGAAACCACTTATGGTAATCAGGAGAAGTGCTTTCTGGTCATATCGACATACTGTGGTTACTATTTTGAAGCCTTACGTCACCAGTAGAAGTCTAAAATTTATCCACTGAAGATTTCACTGTTCTAGGGAAATTTTCACTAGAAATCCAAAATATTCAGATCACAATAATATAACGTTGATATCATGAATATGACATCGACAAAGTAAACAAATGTGTTGATGTTTCAAGTTTGACCACGGATTGTTATGAGTTAGAAAACCATTGGAAAACTACTAGGCTACCTCGCCATAGTTAGTGACCCATTAGAATTACGCAGTCATCACAGGGGTTCGAACCCACAACACTCCAGTAGCAGGTCGAGCTTGTAGACCATTCAGCAACTGGAACGCCAACCCAATCACCAGCTCATGAATTCTAACTTCTATCAATTCATGATATCAGCGCGATTATTCGTCCTCAATTCTAACCAGTTGAACCCCACTGACTAGAACTTGGACACTGGTAGAGTATAATTCCATCAGAATATTTTTGAATACGGTTTCAAATTTTTCATAGGCTGTTCTGTGTACAATTCCTCTGTCTACTGAAAAAGTAATAAAGTAGTATTGTGTAGAATCAGTAAAATAAAAAAACAAACTCTGAGGCTTTTCGAGCTGCCCAAGTAGACCAACACTTCCATTGATCTAGTTGTAAGCGTCAGACATTCGAATTTGCCCCTTGAAGGCATTAAATACCGCTTACTTGGCGGGAGCCATAAACGCCTGGTGATATGATAGGGGATTTCGATGGGATGACCGAAGTCTACCTACTCTTGACCGTACCAGGTCGTTTCTAGGATTTTCGGCCTTCTGCCTGCTCACCGTCGTATTTTCTTTCACATTGCTCAGCAACGGCAAAGTTTACTGTAGCACGTAAAGAAGAAAGGCACAAGTAGATTTTTCTTGACCGCATTCAGTAATCACAGTGTAATTTACAAAAAAGCATGAAGATGTAAAGAAGTTTTAAAAGGCACACACACACTCCTGGGGGGTTGGTTTGACGGGGCGGGGTTGCTAGCCAGCCTCATGCCCAACCTTTCCTCTTTAACAGCATTATTTTTGGCTTAGAGAGGTAAAGAAGTGCGTCGGTCGGGGATCGAACCCCGGACCATGTGCATGGTCGGCGAGCGTCCTAACCGCTATGCCACCGACGCACACAACACATTCCTTTATTATTTATTACTATTATATCCTTTAGTTCCTAGAGGAACATAGGGCTTTAGCTGCGCACCTCCATTGCCTTCGGTTTTCTGCTAACTTTTTCACTCCGCTCCAAGTCTGCCCACATGCTTTCATCTCCTCCTCGCATTACCTCCTCCGAATCACCCTTGTACGACCAACTCGCCGTTTCCCTTTCGGGTTCCACTCGAGGGCTTGCCTAGTGATGTCGCTTGATGGTTTCCTCAGGGTGTGACCAATCCATCTCCATTTCTTCCTGCCTATTTGTTTCACAATCGGTTCCTGGTTGGTTCCTGGAAAACATTCCTTTACCAAGTCTTTATCTTCTCCTGTTTCAATACTTTTAAAACACCGTGAAATATTTGTTAATTACGCCTGGAAGTGGTATTCTACGGATATCCAAATTATTAACGCTTGTCTTTACTATCATTTAATTTATTTGCCTTGAAGAGCTCATAGTGTATGCGAAATGTATTCATTCTCTTACCCCCCCTCCCTACTTTTGCTCTTTTCCAGACAATTCAATCTCAACAATCTTTTTGCAAGTGCAGAAGAAGTTGGTCATTTATACGATTTACAAGAGACTGGTAAGGAGAAGCGTCAACGATTTTGGGAACAGAAACGTTTAAATTCTCAAAGTGATAATTACGGTCGAAAACGTGGACGACAAAAAGGACGTTTTATGAATAATAATAATAATAATAAGGGTAAAACAAATGGTCAGTCGAAACAGAAACATCAGATGAAATCGAAAAGTTCAAAGGTGAAACGTCCACGTCGTGCTTAAAGTGATGTGTAAAACAGTTTTTCACACTTGAAAGATTCTGTACATTTATTACTTTCAAATGATATATCCCTTACTTTTCTTGTGACTTGAGTTTTTCTGTCTTCTGGCCTGCATATATATATAGAATATTTTGTTGGTCACAAAGTACATTTCAGTAGATTTAAAAAGGGCGTCTGAAGTTTGTTGTATTAGAAGCCTGTATAACTTACGCGTTAGATGTCGATATTTCGCAGCAGGGAGGGAAAGCGGTGGCTGAGTGTGTTTACCACCACTTTACCTATTCGGGGAGAGTTACATTCTGCCCCCAACGAGTTGATCGCTAACAAAATCTCAGCACGGATACAGAAGGCTTGTTTGGTACATGCCAACTTACTCTATCTCTGGCATAGACGTGATATCCAGCCGTCGAACAAAGGGCGCATTTACTGCTCAGCATTTGGTTCTGCCCTCCTTCATGGCTCTGAGCGATGCATGCCTTTTGAAAGTGGAAGACAAGAAAAGGCTAGTTGTCTTTGATCAAAGGTGTCTGTGTCCTGTCTTTCATATGAAATGGTATAATATGGTGCGCAATATTGAGATTAGGCGTCGAGTGCTAGATAAGAAGGGGAAATCAGTCGACGAGGTTGTGAAGTTGCACCGATTGAGATGGTTAGGATATGTGCTACGTATGCTAAGACATCGCTTTCCTCGACGGGAGATGTTAGCTGATATAAGATCAATTTAGAAAGGAGCTAGTGTAGTGGTCAAGTGAAAACATGGTTTCACCAGTCATTGAAGTCCATAACAGTTAGTTTAAACTAGTCCTGCAGGGAAGTGTAGACTTCTGTGTGAATGTGGTCCTCGCTATAGTAAACACCAATGACAACTGCATACAATTGGTGATATGGCTGAAAATCCTTCTGATTGACTGGCGCAGATGTATCCGCTCCATGTGATTTATAATATCCAATAAAACTCTATTGTTGCTCCACATTGCCATTCTTTTTGCCCCACTCACACTTCTGTTTATAATCTCTGTTTGAAATGCATTCCCCAGTGAATGATGATATTCTCATCGAGGCTTGAACCCAGTGCTCATAGTTTCGAATGCCAAAGCGTTATTCACAAAGTTAGTGCTGACTAGGAACAGATGATTATCTGAGCAGAACTGTAGAAGACGATCAACGTTGTCGGTTCGTCTGCAGGAAACTCCCTACGTACTTCTCAGTGTAGCCTACTTCCCTACTCGGGCATTGAAGTCTCCTGCTAAACACAACCATATGTGAACGTTTTGCTTTTTGCAGCAAATTAGACAGTTTCTGGTAGAAGTCATCCTTTAGTTCATCCTAAATGCAGTCTGTTGGGTCGTAAGGGGAGACTTCGAAAAGACAATGATGGCTGACACCGTCCTTCCTTATTCTAGTGAACCCGCTCAGACGGACCGCACACTACAACCATCTACTGGGGATCCAGTCAAGAAGGGATTTTTCTGCCCTAACACTCAGAGCCATCCCTACACCTGCGAGTCCTCGCGAACTAGCTTAGGGGTCTCCTGACACTCCTAAAGTGAATTTTGCAGATTTACCTTGTTGGACGGGTGAGGTTAAGTGAATAACTACACTCGCATCTTGTATGCGTGTCTCCGAAACAACATACATCCATGGTTTGGGATGTCAGAGCTTTTGCTAGTGATGCCTGTTGTCTGGTTTGGCAGAGTGTCCTGACGTTAAATACTTCTATATGAAGTTGGCGACGTGGCTTTAAGAGTCCATCGGGGATGTTTCTATCGCTGTCACCGTTGTTCGTGGTCACAGAGTGAAGTGAAGACGACTCACTAGCCCGAAGAATAATACTACCTGTAGTAAGGGAGTAAGGTGATGTGGGTAAAGGAGAATGATGCTAAGGTGGGTTTCGTGTGGTTTTGTAAGTGTGTGGGCGGTTGTTACTTCCCGGCTGCCCACACCGTGGAAGTTGGTTGATTCTTCGGATACCTGAGACAGAAAGAAGGTTAGTGTTGCGTGACCTCAGTGCCCAGAGGACAACTGCTTGAGACCGGTCACACACGGCCTGTATGAACTGGCTTTGAGGTTCGATCCGGTATTAGTAAACTTACCGCTGGTTATGGACCACCGTAGGGTAAGTCGGGGTGTACAGTTTTTGGAGTCTACCTTTCCTAACCCCCTCTCTGCAGAGTGGAGAGACAGCATAACTGGCTGGCATGCTGCTCATCTGAGGGAAACACGTGAATGCTGTTACATCCGTGTTCCCCAGCAGTACGACTTCGCCCACAAACCCCAAGCATAGTGTAAAATAAATTCTTACACAATGCCGATAACTGCTTTTAGTCTAGTCGCTATCCTAAAAACCTTGCTAGCATCGTAGAAACTGCAGGAACAATAGATCCAGCCAGTGTAGCTTGTTGGGTCATTGCAACATGCAAGCCTGTCCACCACGTCAAGGTAGCAGCTATCGGTCACTATTCATCATCATCAAGTGAGCAATATTCATCAAAGTATATATTAACATAAAAGCTTGAGTTATTGAGATAGAAATGATAAAATTATAAACATCCAGATGTGACAGTATTATTGAAATATATGGAAACTTCGTAGGAAACAAATGAATTCATTTTAACATGCGTACACCATATAGGACAAAGTTATCTATAATTTTATTTCAATAGTTTACACAATGATAAGTTTTTTTCAACTATTGGTTTGTAGGGATCATGAGCTGACATCGGTTTGAGAACCATTGGAAAACCTGCAGGGAGTACTGGACAGCTGTTATGTCCTGGCTTGGGACTCTTTATCAGTACGTGCCTGCCAGGGTTCGATTCCAGGACCTTCTGGTTACAAGGCGAGCTCATAGACCACTCAGCCACTGTGTGCCGATCCAATAGCCAGCCCATGAATTCTAACTTTTGCCTTGCAACTGGAAGGTCCTTGGTTCGAAATTGGACGGGTGTTTACTGATGAAGAGTCACAAACTAGGACAAAACAGCTATCCAGTACTGCCTGCAGGTTTTTCAACGTTTCTCTAGCCTATATCAGTACATGGTGAAATCCTGTAACCGATAAGTTTTTTGTTTTGGTAGTATTTCTAGCAAAATTACTACCCGTGATCACACGAACTGTTGAAATCGTCTTTCTTTTCAATTAAAAGCAACCTGGTAAGGATGAAGGTGAGTAGACTGTAGCCTCCCCCTAGGAATTGTCTCATATGGCTACGCGTTCACAGTCTCTGACAAGCAAGAGCGAAATGGAGAATTTGAACGTCTAACGCTTACAGATGGACTGGTAGATATTATGGTTTATCTGGGTGGGTTGGAGAGAGGAGATGCTGAAAAATCGTGCGTGATTCCGAACCTATGGTGTGCATCGGTTCCAAGATTCTTTCTGGATCAGCTCTTCGCCTGACGCTTTGGTTACTATCAGTTTTATCTCTAACCAATGTTCACAAAGAGGAATGTGTGAGAGGATAGTTTTTTATATAATCATTACAAAGACACTAATGTAAGCCATCAATGAATTGATGCCAGAAACAGTATTTTATGTGATGGATGGAATTAAGCACTGGTGAAATAAAAGATAAAATAATAAGTTAACTGCTTGTTTAGAAACACACAGAATAAAAAGTCACTTTAGATGACAGACTTTGGACTGACTAGACATCTTGCGGATATAGCCAGACACTGACTATTTTTTTATTACCAAACATCTGATATTGATTACTCATTAGATAACAGTGACGTTAGAAAAACTTTTCACGATTTAACTGACGCAGTAAATGAAAAATTCTTAGATTCTTATCAAAGATAATGGATGAGCTGTTGTACCTATAGAGAAACTAGAGTCACTGCAGTTAGTTTCCTGTATATGTCTCTAACTTTTATCTGTAACTTTAAAAATAACTTTATATTTCATTTGTAGCGCACTCTTACCCCTTTTTTGTAGTGTCCGCTTTTCGTAGGTAGCTGAGCTTTGATTGGCTGTTAATTCTTTGAACTTATCGGTGAATTTAGCCTTTTTCAAGGTCATTTTAAATCGCTGTTGTCTGACACGATTAAAGTGTAATGAACAAATTATTTTTGGAAAATCCCTTTTTAAACGATTTAATCACAATATTTTTATTAATACTTATTTCGATGTTTCAGCTAACTTCGTAATTATTATGTTTTTCTCTTAGACTGCATAACATTATTCTGACATTTGCGTACCACAGGTTGATTTTTGACCTTTATTATCTGCCTTTGTCCTTGTGTAATCTTCTATTGTAATATATTTGTTTGTAGTTGTGTGTACACTGACAATGTGCTGTTTAATTATCCGAGTTTGTTTGAGTGAATGAAGATTATTCTGACCCAGGACTGTCCGAGGGAAGCCTTGGAGTGTGATTCTTGTGGACACAGAGATTTGATTCCAAGTTATTTTTAACATTTGAACTTTGGTTAACTAACTTTGCCTTACATTACTTCTTTTGTATTCAGAAGCCTACATTGTCATAATATTCATACATAACAAATTTGGCGACAGGATTGCTCAAGATGGACCCACTGCGTTTAGAGAAACTAACGGAACAGCAGCTAAAAATGATGGAAATGCTTGCTGGTCTACAGATATCACGCCCTGGTGATTCATCTGCAGCCAACGACAGCATTGGTAGTAGCATCTCAGAATTCGTTTATGAGCCAGATGCGAAAGTGACTTTTGATACCTGGTTTCGCAGATATGAAGACCTATTTCGAGTAGACTTTGCGGAAAAAGATGATACCTGGAAAGTACGGGTTCTACTTCGTAAATTGGGAGCAGATGAGCTAGATAAATATGGCAGCTTAATTCTCCCACAGAAGCCCAACGAAATATCATTCGATGAAACTTTCCATACCCTTCGTCATCAGTTTGGTGATCAGAGGTCTTTAATCAACATTCGATATCACTGCATGAAACTAGTTCTGAACGAAAATGATGATATCCATACTCAGTTAATAATAATAATAATATAAATAATTTTTCCTTCACGTTCCCAGTGGAACATAGGGCTCCAAGATAGTGGCTTGAAGCTTCTGTAGCAGTGTTTAATTTTTACAGGATGGGGTTACTAGC